ATTTGTTCAGTTATAGCTCTGGAAATCTTTCATTGAGTTTCTGCAATTAATACGCTTTTCAGTTGGCTGTTCATGTTGGCAAAACGCTAATAAAAAGATGTTAATAAATCAACTTTAAGCTTTAATCATTTGAGAGTGTTTTTTGTGGCCCTTAGCCATCACCTCCTGCCCCTTCTCCTGATTGAATCCCCCTCTTACTCCGCTAATAAGCGCGGACAATGCGCGTCCCTCAAGTTCATATATCAAAAGCAAAATGCTTTCTCACACCGTCGTCTGTCTGCAATTTTCAAGTGGTTTATATGTTTCTTTTTGTTGTTTTCGCTGCTGTTCCTGTATATTTAGATGTATGCGAATACAGCTCTATATACATATATGAAAGGAAGGAGGGGCGGGTTGAGGTGGTGTTCAATCTGCACAAACAGCTAGACAGATCCTTCGAACACTTATCGCATTCAACATCATTTGCATGCCGCGTGTTTCAAACGTGAAAATCAAAATAAAAATCGAAAACGTGAAACAAATAAAATCATGAAATAAATTAGAGAAGTACAAGGACTCAATCGAATAGGATGGGTTAACAGGGGCAGCAGCAACATAAGCACAGCCGGATATGTTAGACCCCAGTCGAAAAAACAACATGCCAAAATAATAGAAAAAATCTATCTATCTATATATATATATATATATGTATGTGTATAACAAATATGCGGGAAGCAGACAGTTTTCTAGTTGATTTTTTGCAATCTGCAGTTTTCCAGCTGCTTTTGTATGAAACGTCGGAAATGTTGCTACAAGTCCCAAGCCCCAAACCCAAACCCAGTCTGCAGTCAGCAGTCAGTCGTCTGTCTGGAGCTGAAGCTGCACCCGAGACTCTAACCCACGAAACCCCCCTCTGCTCTCAAGCCCCACTACTCTCTCTCTCCCTCTCTTAGTCTCTAGTCTAAGCCCAGGTCCAGTCCTCACTTGACTGCAGCAGGGAATCTGGTTTGTGCCTGTGCCTGTGTGTGTCTGGACACGTAGTCACGTGTGTCCTCCTTGTGCCGTGCCTGTGTCCATCGTCCACCAGAGTTGGCCAACACCTCGCGACGCATTCGCGGCATTCAGCAACACCAACACCAGCAACCACCGCATGGTTTTAATCAGCGACAACAGTCGCAGTCGCAGTCGCAGCAGCAGCAGCAGCAGCCGCAGCAAACTCCGCGTCTGCTTCTTGGCCATCATCATTTATTGTTAGTTGCCCTTGTTGTTGTTTAGATTTCTTTGTCCCTACAACATACATATTTTTGGCTGCTTTTGGTGGCTCACCAGTTTCAATATTTGCACACTCCAAACCCCCCTCTCCGATGCGGCCCGCTTAGACGCCGCTCAGTGGTTGGAATTATTTCCTGCTGTGTCCTGTGCAATGGCCAGTTACTTCCCTTCGGCTCTTGCTCCTTCTACTCCTGCTCGTACTCCTGCTGCCACTTCTGCTCATTCTGTTGCCCTTCTGTCATATATCATGTTCAGGCGCAACACCTTGCAACCCCCACCAGCCACTCGAAATTCAATCCCCGCACTCGCCTTAGCTTGAGCAAGAAAGTGTGGTTCTCTTTGGCTAGCAGTAGATTTAATGCCCTTAGAAACTGACGCTTAACTATTAACAGACTTCTTCGTTTTTCAAGTAACAACACTCAGTAAAAGTCATTTTGAGCTAAGGAATCCTTTTTATTCAGACAGTTAATTTCTACAATTGAAGAAGAAGATTTTTCCTTTATACAAGCATTTATTTGTTAAGCAGCAATAGACGATTTAGCTAAACAAATTATTAATGATTTAATATATATTTATGTAGGAATACACTTCCACCAACTCTGATATCGTTGATATCCCATTCAACACGTTACATATTCCCTGACAGAATAATAACACACCACCAGCAAAAATAATCGAAACTTGTCTTTTATGCATTTTCCAATATTATTTTTCGATTTTCAATTGACCAATTTTTTCTACAATTTATTAAGCTCATCATTTCTACCTTTTTATTGTTAATTTTTTACCATTTGCAATTTTAGATATTACATTTAAATTCGGCTAACTTTAAGCCGTAATTAAATGAGTTTTTGGGGACCACAATGCAACATGTGGCAATCAGTACTTAGGGGCGGGGCAAGCAAAAACGGAGCTGGGGTCGTGTGTGTGAAACACTTAACAAATCTTCAAGCCATAAACAGGCCCACAACAACAGCAACAACAACAGCTTGGGGATTAGCATGTGGCATGTGGCATGCAGCTGGGATGCTACCTCCCCTCAATGCACGCTGCTATAAACATGCACAAGTGGCAAGTGGCAAGGCAAAGAAACAAACATGAGCAGCAGCAGCAGCAACAAGGTCCTGCCTCTGCTCCTTTTAAGAGCTCAGACAACAAATTTGTAAGCCAACAACACACAGCCAATTAACCAACACGACCAAGAAGCAGCAGCAGCAGCAGCAAGCAGTCACTGGCCAGTTGCAGCTCGGACTCGACTCGAGCTGTGACTTTTGGTGCTGGCTACCACACACACACACACACACACACACACACAAGCACACAAACACTCTCAGACAGACAGACAGACATACTTGGCTTGTGGCAGAAGTGCTGCCATGATTTTTAGTCATGGAAACACTTTGCAAGTGTTGGGGGAGTGGAGTGGACACTTGAATGAGCATTTTGCTTATCTCTAACTCTCTTTATGCCCACCACTCCCCGCCACTCCCCCACTCTGTAGCTAGCTGTGGTAACTGCCACACAGTGGATTGTGTGTCAAGGTCGTTTTGAGTGCTGCCTCTGCTTGCTGCTTGCTGCTTGTTGTTTCCTGCTCCAAGACGGTTCTCAATGTCTCCATCTCTATCTGAGGCGCCCCACTGGCAAAATGTTTTAGCTCTAAGTGGACTTAACTGTTGTTGTGTATGTATGTGTTTATGTGTGTGTGTGTGTGTGTGTGTGTGCAGGATGTGTATTGTGTATTGCTATTGTAAAGCAGCAGTAGCAGCAGCAGGAGACGGGCTGCCAGGAATTGTGCTGCTGTCTGCCTTTAGACATTCTTGGGGAATACCTTTTCAACAGCTCAGCTCAGACTTGTCTGCCTTGCCTTTTGTGTATGTGTGTGTGTATGTGTATTTATGTGTGTGTATGCTACTTATTGCCATAGCAATGGTTGATGTTGTTGTAGCTGCTGCTGTCTTTGTCCACATTTATATTGCCTCTCTATGTATGCTTCAAATTTCAACTCACCCCCTCTTTCTGCCACTCCCGCTTTGTGTCGCAAATTGTGTGAAAATTGTTTTTCTTGTAGTTGTTATTATTGTTGCTGTTGTTGCTGTTGTTGTTGTTGTCTGGTTAGCCTTTTGGCTTTTCTTGTTTAAGATTCTGTGGTTTTGTGCATTTGTAAATAATCTTGTTCTACACAGAGAGGGGAGGGACTCTATTCTATCTGCTGTCTGCTGTCTACTTTCTAGTGTCCTGTCTGTTCACAGTCTACAGTCCGTAAACAAGGACATGCGGCCGTCGTCCTTCGGTTTCCGGTCAGCTTGGCCGGACAAGGCTACATAATTTATGTGTGAAAGTCTCTCACTCTTTCTCTTTTGGCTTAAGAATTTTGGGCCAACTTACAAATGAGTCCTTGTGTGTGCTTGTGTTTGTGTGTTTGGGATTCGGTCTGAGTCAATTATGTTGAAAGATATCAAGTTAACAAATTAAATGCTTTTTGACTTGATTGACTCTAAATAAACACACTTTAATTGCATGATTTTTGGTATCATTTCAACTTAATTTAGAAAGTCTTGCTTTCTTAAGTGTTTTATTAAATCATTGGTCAGTTGTTCAATTATAGCAAATATTTGCCAGCTTCAAATTTAAGACTGAAAATGAATTTCTATTGTGGCAAAGTGCTGATAAATGTGCTGACTGATTTATAGATATTAATCGTTGAATTTGTTTTATCGATACACAAAAGTATAATGGTATTAAGTCAGTTATTCAAGTCATTAATTAAGCTGAAAAGCTTAGAAGAATATATTATGTTAATTCAGTTCTCAGCACTTTTCTCATAAATGTTTCCTTAGTTACTTTTCGTCTTACAAAGTGCTCATCAAATGCAATTACTTATAGAAATTTATCAAAAATAGACATGGAATTTGTCATTAATGAAATTTAAAAGATAAAATATGTTATCTTATTGCAGTTATCAGCACTTTCTCATAAATATTTCAATCCCCAGCTAATTTTCCTTAGCGACAATCTAATCTCAATAAATCATTTACACCTAGATGGCGCCAGCACACAATCCACAAATTTAAGTTCCAGCAACGCCCACGCATGGCAATGGTTGTTGTCTACACTCAATGCCTGTGGTCTTTTCCCCATAGCACAAACAAAAACCAATTAAAATTCGCGCATGCCTTCCACAATTGTGCTACAATCAAACATTTAAATACAATTATGTTTCTATAACTAAAGCTAAAACTACTTACAAGCTAGAACTATAGCTAGTTTTGCAGAGCACAGAGTCTAGCAATAAGAATAATATATATTTCTTACTTACCTCCTACAGTTCTTTCAGATTGTAGATTATAGTTTGAGTTAAAAATGTTGTTCGCTCTAGATTTATTGCACTTTTGTTACTGTGCAGAGGCAAAAGATTTGTGATTGTTAGACATAGAAAACATAAAAATAATAGTTCCTATTTAATTCATAATCTCACATTCCTCGCTCGGCCTTGAAACATGTATTTATTTGTTGTAGATACTGAATACATATTTACTGATATGTTTATGTATATATACGTATGTATATATGGCAGGCAGTCTCGCCTGATCACACGCTATAGCTGTGACTATCAGTAAACACACACACAGAATAATAGAAAAAAACAAACCAAACACTAGTCAATATTCAGATACAAGGTATAAATAAAAAAGATTATAATCATTGATTCCAGTGAGCAACGAGCAACGTGCAAGTCAATTTTATGGGGACAGCTCATTTAGACGAGGTTCCAAAGTGCACAGACGGGAATTACGTAGTTTCTAAGCAGTTCACAGTTATTTTGACGCCACCACAAAGTAACCATGGAATGATAAGAAATTATCACGAGTTATCAGCAAGCCAATGAGTAACTCTGAGCGAGAAAGAGAGAGAGAGAGAGAGAGCGAGCTCCTGATAGAGAGAGGGCAAGCCCCTGGCAGACAAACACACATAGAAGAAAGCATTAAGTGCATAATACATAAGTCTGCAAACATATTCAACATTAGGAATCCATTAGAGTCCAGCCTTATCTTTGTTCTTTATTTATATTCTTCTTTTTTTTGTCGTCAGCCTGTTATCAGCCAAAGCGTTGAGCGACTAGAAAATCGGGCCATCCAAATCGACAGTTCAGTTGAATTTAAGCAGCAGTCAAGTGCGGTCTGTACAAAATACAAATTCAATTAAACACAAGTTTATCCTTAACAAACAAAGAACACTTAATAAACAATAAATTAATAAAGTAATAAGAATCTTCATCAAGTGCTTAAGCAGCTGTAACTAACAATAATATATCAGCCGAAAACTAAAAGCATTTAGCTTATTTAATATATACTTTTAAATATACATAATATATAATATATGCACATATTGATGTCTATATAATCACACATCTTTGGTGTGACTGATAAGCCAGACAGACAACAATAAATTCGCGTGTCAACTTTTGAACCCACCTCGGCTGCAATGATTTCCCATACAGTGAGGTGAGTGCTATAAAAAAGAATAATAATAAAATCAAATCAAATACAATGAAGAAAAGTAATAATCGTAAATCGCCTACCCCCCACAGAGTATTCAAACTGATGTATATCGTGGCTGGCATTCTGATCAGCAATGAGGAAATCTGCGATACTGTGGATCGCATTCAAATCGCACCACGCGTCGAAATGAAGCCAGAACTCGAGCCGGAGCGGGGGCAGTTGCAGCAGAGGGGGGAGAAAGACTCGCCACGTTCGAAACGGCGACGCAAAGTGAGCGTCACCGAGCTGGCTGGCGGTGTGGTGCGTGGGGTCACCAGCAAGGTGACCAGCAAGGTCATCACCAGTCGCCTGGGCAGTCGACTCAGCTGGGTGTACGATGTGCCCCAGATACTCGGCAAGTGGCGCTCTCTAGCGCTCAGTTTCACGGTGTGGACCATACCCAACTGGCTGATGGAGTACACGTCCAGCTACATCAGCAGGAAGTTCTTCCTCAACAGCGACTGTGATTTGATCTACAAGTGAGCGAGTGCATCCTGCATATATATATACATATATCTATGCAGTTGGGTATTTCGGCTAGAGTTGCCCATTGTCAGTATCTCGCAATACCATTTAATATATGTAGCTGACTTAGCTTAAGTTTTTGCCTACCAATTGTTGGTAATCTCCACAAATATTAGCTGTAAGTCACAATTTCATTTTTGAGTACAATGCAATTACTCTATTTACTCATCAGCTTGTAATCATGGAAGGGTATTTAGTTGTCGGCACTTCGAATTATAACTCTTCGTTCACGTTTCTCCTTTGCGAGTTGAAGTGAAATTTATTTAAGTTTTAGAAATAAGTCGCGTATTTAGGCATAAGTTCAAATAAAGTTAAAGTTTGCCAACAATTAGACATCGAATCTATATATGTTTGTTCTATATACGATAATATATATGTGTGTGTGTAAATATGTGATATCTATAGTAGCATATGGTCCCAACAAGTATCCCCAGCAATCATACAACTCTCTCGCTCTCTCCTTAATCGCCTTCGGCTATGTAGTTCTCCGAGTTGTCCGGACTATTGCTACCGCCGGCGCTGCCTCCACTACGAACATTGAGGCTGTTGTGCAGCATGTTCGCTATGCTATCCACATCGAGATTCTCATCCGTTGCCGAGATCTTGCGCAGAGCGGAGCAAACAATGCTCAAATCGCCCCTCAACTCGCTGACAACTGCTGTGATCTTCTGGGCGTTGGACAAGACCTCCACGCTGCTCGTATACGGATTGTAGCGCACTCCAAACGGTCGTTGAATGCTGTCAGCAAAGGAACTAACAACAGACAGATAGACATATAGAGAGCATAGTTGAAGAGGAGCCGTAGAAGTTCTTCTCATGCCACTTACCGCATTTGCTCCTTGGCCTCCTCAAAGGAGTCCGTGTAGTAGTAGGCATTCTGATAGGATGTTATGATGCACTCCTCCTTGCAGGTCAGCTCCGGATCGAATTTCTTGATCTTATCCTGTGCCGTTATCGCATGCTGCAGCTCGGCCACCGAGCTAAGCAAACCAGCGCCGTAAACCTTGAAGCTGTTATCCGACTGCTTGCACAAGCCAAACTCCACGGTGAAGAAGTAAAGCTACAAGAAAAAAAAATCACACAGAATTTCAAAAATTCGCCAAAGGTTCCTCAACTCGTTGTTCAGCTCGCTGAGCTACTCTTCGCCTAGAGCCACTGTCAACTGAACTGGTGCCTATAAGTTTATTTGCATATTACTCACCGTTGCCAGCTTTTCAATATCCGCATCACAGGCGCCTAGCGAGGCGAGTCCAATCTCTTGCGAGAACTGAGCAAAGCTCGAGTTGGCTAAGAGGGGCATGTGGCCCAAAAGCTCATGACAGCAATCACTGTGTGTGAAAAGCAATTATCAAACTTCGAACAATACACACAGAGTCTGGGACAACTTACGGTTCGGGTGTGTAGAAGGGATCGGAGGAGTGCCTTATGTACTGGGTGCAGTGGAACACGCGAAAGGCCAGGCCAGAGAGGAAGTCCCGGGGCGAAAGGTAGCCGGCAACTGGGCGCAGCTGGAAGCCCGTCTTGCGCTTCAGATAGCTGCTGACATCCTGCAGCTGGGGCACATTGTCCTCCCGATAGCCACAGAACTTGACCAGCTCCGGCCAGTTCTCCATGTACTCCGGCACCGCGTGCAACTGATACAGGCGATGCAGCTCCAAGAAAACGGTGCCCCTGCAACAAACCCAAGCCGCAACAAGTGGCAACTTCACAAAACACAACACAGAAAACCACAAAAGCAATTTGCAAGTTGCACTTACCAAGTTTTGACCTCCTCCGGCGTGTATTGCACACGTGGAATGGGATTGCCACTAAAAGTGGATTGGGCTTGAGCAGATTGCAGTTCAAAACTAAATCAAAACTTACTGCTTGAAGTTGTTGGCTATGGCTGAGAACTGTTCGCGACGCTTGCGATAAATGGGATCCTTGAAGCCAGGATGATCTGCATCCAGATCGGAGCCATACATGAGCACATTCTGCGCCTGATCAATGTCCGATATCTTGCGTGGAAACCAAACCATGTCGCCAAAGTCTGAATGGAAGCACATTTCATTTGTCAAAATTATATATATTTTTAATATTTCTATAAAGCTGTAAAAGTGGCTTAAAAGTGAAATTAAGATTAATTATATAAAACTCATTATTAACATTTGTATTTTTATACTTTTGCCAAGTTTTAAAGATGGAAAAATGCCTTAAAAATTACGTTTGTAATTTCTGATGGTTTATTATTGATTTTAATTGTTAAATCTTCTTTCCTGGAGGATTAAATTCTGACGTTAGTTTCTTCTTAGTATCAACTATTCCTACGCTGTTTGGATGCTCATTTCACATTTCAGATTTAGAGGTATGACTCACCAAAACTGGAGCAGGCGGAGAGGGATGGAGCCCTGGCCAAAGTGTGCGCATTGACGGACGTATAGTTGACCGAGGCGACTTCGCGATTGAGCATCTTCACCACCTGATCCAGGCGGCGGGGATCGCATTCCACATCCACCAGAACATCGGCCTGATTGCTGGTCATCTCCAGCGGCGACAGCTCCAAGTGCAGCACATTGATGCCCAGCTCCTGGAACACTTGCAGCGCCCGTGCCAGATTACCCACCTGATTCTTGAGCGTGAATAAAATGGAGATGCGCTCGCCGGGCACCACACCATGACGCACTGCACCATCGTTGGAGCCGGCATTGATTTGCAGACGGGGCGCCTCAGCACTGCGTTCCTGTTTTTTGGGCGAGAACAATAGAAAACTATCGCCGGGCGCCGAGGCATGACGTGAGAGACTTGCATGCGTCGCTGAAGTCGTCGATGAGGACGACGTGGTTGAGATGGGACCGGATTCCTTTTTGGGCGTGTGCAAAGGACTTCCCTGCTTGACGGCCCACTCCTGCTCCCCGCTGCGATACAGCCACAGTCCCAACAGACTTTTGCCCGATGCACTCATCCTCATATATATATATATCTATATATGCAGTATTTGTGGGAGATTATCCAATTTTAGTATTCACTTTAGTCACTTTTAATTTACTGCTATTCACTTGTGGGACACACGCGTCGTATGCGCAACGCAAACGCAACGGCAACTGCAAGATCCTTCCGCAGCACAGGCTCCTTTTATAGCCAGCAGTTTTTACACCCGCACACACACACACAGATACACACACAGAGAGAGAAGCATACATATTCAATTGTATTTATTAAGTGTGCGTAGCGAGAGATAAATTTGTTCAAGGATATAAAAGCTACAAGTGACTTTTTCACTTTGCCACAGACTCCACCTCCTTTTGACTGTATCTATCTGTGTGTGTGCGTGTGTGTGTGTGTGTCTAACTGCTTTTGGGGGGATGCGCTCGTTTTGATTGGCCAAATCATGTTGAAATCAGGCTACAGCTAACAGTTATCGCATGACGTCATTTCACTTTCTAATCAGCAGCAGTGGCAGTGGCAGCAGCAGTGGCAGCAGCAGTGGCAGTGGCAGTGGCAACATTTAATGCGTTGCGTTCAACTTCGAGTTGGACTTTTATTCTGCTGCTCTATTTATTTATTTTTTGTTTTTGTATTATTTGTGCTTGTCAGCGCTTGTCTTTCAAATTCGTTTGCTTAATTTATGCGGGCATGAGCATCATCATTGCGCAAGGGTAAAGTAATGCCAGCGTGACAGTTCTAAATTCAAATAACACTGTATTTTCAATTCTATAGTTGAGCAATGGCCTCATAAATATATAAGACATATTTCAAATTTTTCAAAACAGATACGAACAAGTTTTAGAAAGTTTAAAGTGAAACAACTCCGATCATAAATTTAGTATTGTTGAATTCAGGTTAAAAATAAGATTCGAAAACTTTTAGAAGCGTTAATCTTTCAAGTGAGGATTTGTTTTACTCTTTTTATTTGACAGCCAAATACTCCTTTCTTATTTTAGCAGTATATCGACTACCCCATTTCGTGGCCGATGCACACTTTCATTTTGGCATCAGTCGAGTGACGGAGCAGGCAATCAGGCAACCGGGCAACTGGGCAACCACTTGATGCTCTTCGTTCTCAGGCAGATGTCCTGAAAGTTGGGAGAGAAAGTTGGGCCCCAAGCGGCAGAGTCAATAATAGATAAATGGCAATTTCTTTTGCGGTGCTGCGTTTGGTTTTCTCTTCTGGGGTAGACCCCATTGTTTGCGCTTAGAGAAAAGCAAACAGCAGAATGATAGTCGGAGTCAGAGCAGAGCCAAGTAAAGCAGAGCTACTTGACTATTAAAATATATGCGGGTGTGGCAAGCAAACACTCTCACATACACACACACAGTAACAACTGTGACGTGTGTGTGTGTGTGTGTGTGTGTGTGAGTGGTCCACGAATGAGTTGATGTGATAAACGTAATGGCTACAATTCCACCTCTTTCTCCACTTGAGAGTATTTGGACAGGGCATTCAAAGTGATTGCTGCTGCCTACGTACGTTGGAAGCGTTTGACGGATTTATTGCCAAACGATTCTTAAAGACCATCCACAAAGTTGCAAAGTTAAAGGAACAGCCGTCTGGGAGTCCTTAGAACTGTCAGTCGAGCAACAAGCATTCAGCATTCAGCATTCACCAGCAAAAGCTGAGTTCTATAAGTGAATGAATGAATGAATGAATGGTGCTTGTAATTTCTTGTTGATTTCCTTCTAATTAAGTTACGGCAACTAGTGCGCCAAGGGGATCCAAGGATTTTCTGATACAACTGATGCATATATGTACATGTGTGTGTGTGTGTGTGTGTAGATATATCCTTATACAGATCTATGTGTATGTTTGTATAAATGCATAGATAAACGTATTTGCACTTTTGCTTTTACCCTTTAGTCAATCTTAATTATTCAAGTCTATAAACGTTGCTTGACTTGACTTCTTTCCATTTCATCCCATTTAATCTATACTTTAGTTTTTCAGACATCTACCTCAAATGGGTAAAATCTTTTATTGATTTTCATCCATATACATTAAATGGTCTTTTTATTGGGTTTAACGTGTGCTTTATTTGAGGTGTCAGAAAATGCAAGCAACTACTTGAGTTCTTTGAAAACTCCAAAATCCTTGAATCCAGTTCGATAGAGCAAGTCCTTGCGATTCATAAATGTGCAAGGATTTGTCCAATTTGTGTCACTGAAAATAGTTTCTGCCGACAAAGAAAATAGTTGTTTTTTACTACATTGAATAAACGAACTCAGCAAAGCAGTACAGTTCATAGGTTGGAAACTCTGCTAAGAAGCAGTTTTAAACTGAACTTAAAACTGCTTGTGAGCAACATTGCTAAGCAGTTAACCAAATGCTCTGTACACTGCTTCTCAGTAACCTGCTTTTTAGCAGAGTTTCGCACCTATAAGCTACATGCTCGTGTACCATGTAATGATGCAGCATACTTTTGTGCGGCACATTAAACTTCTTCACTAGATAATCATTGTGTAGCATATCTTCGGGCTGGTTAATGCAGTATTTTTCTGAAGCATACTTCCGTGCGCTGTTTCAATTATTTTTTGTAATTCCCAAGCAATTTTAGCTTTAGATGTCTTACATAAAATTATTTGCAATAATTAAGTTCATTTTTTTTGGAAATGTTATTTGTTCTGGCAATCCTCAAACGAGAATATCATCTGAAAATCAAGTATTTCATTGGCAAATAAATCTGTCAACCAAATTAACTCCGATTTTCAGAAGAGAACTTTCGGTTGTCAAATTTGAGCACAGAAATGTATATATTTGAGTCACACTTTGTGGCGCCACCGTTTAAAATTGCATAGGGCTTCCATTCGCCCACACAGACCTTTTTAAGTTTGGTCGCTCGCATTTGCGAGACAAGCGGCAAGAGCCAAAGCAAAAGCAACAGTAATGCAATTCACAACTCACCCCAAGTAAAAGTCTCGGTTAGGGGATGCGCATGCTCGCCAAGTAATCAACCCCCACGCAAAAAAAGAATACGAATAGAAAGGAAGGAAACAGCAAACGGATGCAGCTCCCGAAGCTCGCTTTGGTTGTAAACAAAAACAAGTTTCAAAGCACTCAGAGAGAGCGAGAGAGAGAGAGAGAGTGGAATGGAGCATGCTCCTGACAGCCGAAGCTTGAAATTTCCCAGCTAGAGGCGAGCTGACAGCATTTAGCAGTCAAGTGGACGTCAAACTGGGCTGAAGTACGCCAAGAGAAGACGTCAAAAGGAAATTATTGATTTTTGGTATCCGAAGTGAAAAAGTGTTTCGCCTGCATTTGGCCATGTAGAAAAATTGCAAAAGTCGAGAAGCAATTGCCAATTAACCAGACAGACAGCGTTAATAAATCTAGTGCAGCCCGTGTAGTTGTGTGGGTGTGGCAGCTGCGCCAACAGCGCTATGGCCGACAGCGAATACGAGGAATTCCGCAGGCCCATCTTTGAGCCACATGCATTAGCCAACACATTTGGCAAGAAGAAAACCACACATGCATTTTACTCGTAAGTAAACCCACTCGAGATGTGCTGTGAAAAATCAATGGCACTTGCCATGCATATGTAAGTGAGCTGAACACGTGTTCCTCGCCAACCAAGACCCAACTGCACATCAGGGACTTGGTCAGTCCTTGGACGACAGCTGAGCAACGGTCGAGCGCAGATGATATTATTCCTTTGAAATATATTCACCTTGGGAGAATTAAAAACATTAACCGATTTCTTTAACCTACATGTTTCTATAAGATTCAGCTAGAATCAGAATTGTTGACATTCATTTTTGTGTAATAATAATATTGTATACTGACCTCCAAGCAGATATACATATATATATATACATATACATCCATAAATATGTTCGTCTTTGTAAGCATCACATTTTCATCTAATCCCATCATTTCAACTACTCAGCCTAATACCCAACGATGATTTAGAGGATTCGCATTCCTCGAAAAGCGATGGCTCCGATCAGGAGGATGGCATTATCGACAACAAGCTGCAGCGTCAGGTGGAGGACGATGAGCTGGGCGATGGCCTGAAGGTGACGCTCTCCTCGGATGGGTCACTCGATACGAACGATTCGTTCAATTCGCACTGTCATCATCCATTGAATCATCAGGATGCCATCGGTGGCTTCATTGGCATCAATGGTATGGCGCCAACGGCTGTTGCAAATGTTGGCCCGGTAACCATTGGAGCCACCACAGAGCTGCTGACACCCGGTTCGGCGGCAACACGACGTCGTCGCAAGTTGCCCGAAATACCCAAGAACAAGAAATGTAAGTAAGCCCAAGCTGTAGAGATTAGAGATTAGTTCCCGCATGAGCCCATTCCTCGTAGTTGAAGCTAATCTACTGATGGGTTCGTTGCAGCTTCCATTCTGCATATTCTAGGTGGCCCCACAGTCGGTCAGTCCCTGGCGGATGAGATTCGCATTGGAAATGCCGGCGCTGTGGCAGGTGCAACCGGAGTGGCGCCTGCTCCACGCTCGAATCAGCAGCGTTCGTTTCTAACGCTCAAATGTGGCTATTTGCTGGATGAGGACTCCAGTCCGGACTCGGAGCGATTGCAGAGCCTGGGCGATGTGGACAGCGGTCATAGTACAGCGCATTCCCCAAATGATTTCAAGAGCATGTCGCCACAGATTACATCGCCGGTGTCCCAATCACCGTTTCCCCCACCATTTGGGGGTGTACCGTTTGGCCAGCTGGAGATGCTGGAGGCGACACATCGGGGTCTGCACAAGTTTGTGCCACGGCATCACGATGAGATTGAGCTGGAGATTGGCGATGCCATCTATGTGCAAAAGGAGGCCGAGGATTTGTGGTGCGAGGGTGTCAATCTGCGCACAGGTCGCCAGGGCATCTTTCCCTCGGCGTATGCCGTTGATCTGGACTACAATGAGTTCGATCCCACTGTGCAGCTGGTGAAGAAGGAGCGCTATCTACTTGGCTACCTGGGATCCGTGGAGACGCTCGCCCACAAGGGCACCGGTGTCGTTTGCCAGGCGGTGCGCAAGATTGTCGGCGAATATGGCACCTCACCGACGGGACAAACGTGCATCCTCGAGGTATCCGATCAGGGATTACGCATGGTCGATCGCTCAGCTCCAAATGTAAGTTGGCAGCATGCCTTAATTTATGGGAATATCCTTCCAATCTTGCCTTGCTCTTCGCACAGAACAAAAAAGAGAAGAAACCCTGCATCGATTACTTCTACTCGCTGAAGAATGTGTCCTTCTGCGCATTTCATCCAAGGGATCATCGCTTCATTGGCTTCATCACCAAGCATCCGACAGTGCAACGTTTCGCCTGTCACGTCTTCAAGGGCAACGAGTCCACTCGACCCGTTGCAGAAGCAGTCGGGTAAGTTCCTCCAAAAGCTAATCCCAATCCTAACTGCTTCATCACTTTTCTGATCTCCTTTTTTACAGTCGCGCCTTTCAGCGTTTCTATCAAAAGTTTATTGAAACCGCTTATCCCATCGAGGACATCTACATCGAGTAGAGCGCAAGTTACAAATACAAAAAGAAAACATTAAAAACTAAAGAAAAAATTAAAAGATTACTTACAAAATACCACATATATATATATAGTACTATATATTTTTTGTGTGATTATCAATAAAATCTCCAAAAATGTTTGGTCTTCGTCAAAAAGAAAAGAAAATAAGTCCGAAAATCTTAATAAGCTCACAATAGAAAAACTATCGATTTCGAAATATTTTTCCTAAATTGTTTAAAATGTAAATAATTCATTTCGGTTCGGAAAGCACAGAATATAAAAATAAAATAAAACCAATCACAAAGCAAAACACACAGCGATTAGACAATTTAAGTGTAACTCATAGAGAACCACACAAATCCGGTAAACAATAAAATTTAAAAAAAGAAAAGAAAATTCCTGAATATGCACAAACCGCTCTTAAATCAAGTCGCACCTTATAGCTACCATACTTACTTAGTTGTGCGGCCAAAGCAGTAATAAGTCTAGCAATTTCCTTCAAATCTTGCAGGCGACTAGTGCTCTTTAGAAAGTTTTGATTTATCCACAAGAGAATTAACAACAAAGAATCGCACTTACGCAAATTTTCTAGTATTACTTAATATCGAAAGCCCAATTCTAAGATGTGTAAAACAATTATATATATATATAAAGACGTTTATATATGTACTTATAAAGAAAACAGAAAGAAATATATATATATATATGTATACATATATTAAAAACAAAACTCTAGTAAATTATTTAAAAGGAATGTTTTGAGGTAAGTAAAAGGCTTTTGTTTTTTTAATAATTTATGTATAATTTCTTCTATATTTTCATATTTATGATACAACTTAGCTTTACTAGTTGGTTGTTTGTTGTTTGTTTGTTTTCTTGTTTTATTTTTACAGCTGTTTTATAAGTTTCTTTATACATATATTTCGATTTTTGAAAATGTGTACAAATGAATCATCATAATTATTTAACATACAAAAAAAGATTGTTATTTTCTGTTGTTGTTGTTTGGGTTTTTGTTTTGTTCAGTATGTTACACAATAATTATATATTTGGATTTACTAGGCATCTGCTTAGATTGTTGTTCTGCCCACAATTGCTCGAATTGCTGTTGTTGTGGTTGCTGTTGTTTGTGTTGTTGTTGTTTGTGTTGCTGTTGTAGGTGTTGTTACTCATAGACATACACACACACACACAAGACAAGACAAGTCTTACTCTAATGTACTAGCGCTATATATATATATATTTCCCTATGTAGCCCAACAGCGACTTACTAAGTCCAAGTCTGTTGCCAACAACACTTACACTTGTATCTCTCATAATAATAATCATAATAATAGTAATAGTTTATATACTATAATAATAATTTCATTAGTAATACTTATTGTTGCTATTCTATTCTCTATATATATATATATATATTCTTGATGTGTGTTCGCTTAAGTCAACTAACTGTAATTCAATTTTAGGCATATTTTTAGAGGTTGCTCGACTTACTTCAATCATTCATTACGTAATTGTTTAACCTTTCTGCAAAAAACGATTGACATCCTAATCTTATTGTTATTTATTAACTTGATACAAAAAACTTGGTCTGGTTGTTGTTGTCCTCACAAAAACAAACTCAACTCGAGAAACGAACACAAACTCTTCCAACTGCTGCTGCTGCTGCTTCAAAAACTCTAGTTTTCTATATTTGTTTAGTAACAAGTTCAGAGATTATTGCTTCATTTGTACAAAACGGCACCACATACAAAAAAAAAATATTTATCGAGTCCTTAAGTTATTCATTATTATTCAAACTGTTCAATTGTCCAAAAATTTCCACTTTCCACTTCTTGATTTTTTTGTTTTAATTGACATTTCTTTGAATGATTTCTAGTCAAGTTCCACATTTGTTCCACATTTTTTTTTGGGCTTTCGAAAGGTTTCATATCATATCATATAATATGGGATAGTTATTGTTAACCTGCATTGATGAAAAGTAATTGGTTGTGCTGGGCTGTGAGCTGTTAAGTGTAATTGTTTTGTGTTTTGTTTTGTTTTTTAAATAAGGCTTTTTTGTTTTTATTTAAATTTTTGCTAAAAACTACAATTTAAAATTAATAATCAGAATTAATTCATAATTAGATTAGAACGTAATAATAAAAAACATTTCGCGCACACATACATGCATACAGACACACAATTATTTACAAATTTTTACCTCACAAATCGATCTAAAAGTACAATTTTTTCTGAATATTTTGTGTTTGGAATAAATATTTTTTGTATGTGTATTAATTGTTTATTTTTTTGTTTTTGTTTTTAATGTATAATAGCTTTTTGTGTTGCTCTGTTTTAAAAAAAAAATAATATATGCTGATCCACAATATATATACAGTTACGCTCGATGTGATTGAAATTTTCAAGATGCAAAAAGCTTCAGATATCTAAAAATTTCGCTTAAAAGGAGAAATTTTGTTTGTTTTTTTTTTGTGGATTTTGTCAAAACTGGAATGCGCAAACACATCGAGCGTATGCTACAAATACTATATATATATATATATATATATAGTATTTTGATCCTGTGTGATTTTTCGACATGCTTTCATAAAAAAAATTGTGATAAAAAAATCGTATGACAGAAACTATAAAAACAATAACTGAGAACTATTTGTTGTAACTTTTGTTGTTTTGTTTTTGTTTTTTTTGGAGTTTTCGACACGTTGCACTTACACGCTAAAAATACAAACATTTCCCAAACGTGTTTGGGAATTACAATTTTGTGTTGTTTTTGTTGTTGTTTATGTCTAGGTATATGTTGCTGGTTGCTTTTTATATATGCACTTAGTTGCGGCCACGCCCCTCCCCCCTTGCTGGCAGCCGACTTTGATTTTCGCTAAGAACTACAATTAATGACTACAGGCTACAACTGTTAAGTGTTCTCCTTTTTCCTTTTTCTTTTTCTTTTTCTTTTTTTTTTGTTTCTGTTTTCATCTCGAATTTTTCGTCTTAGTTTTTTTTTTCTTATTTTTTTTTTTTTAACAAATTTTTTGCTAAGTTTTACGATTAATATTATATGCATTTTTCATTGTTGTTGTTTTTGTCATTTTAAATAGTTATTAATAAATAATTAAAATATATATATATGTGTGTGTATATATATATATAATATTACTTGCATTTTGTTTATGAGTAGGTATTTTTATGGAAGTGGGTTAACTAGCAGGATAACGGTTCATCTTCATCCTCATCCTCATCTCGATGAGTGACACACGTTACATAAAACCGAGCATTTTCAACTTCTTCTTCTTCTTCGTTCATGGTTCGATTATCTTCATCGTTTATCGTTAATCGTTCATCGCTGATATTTAGGCTACACATAATGCGAATCTTTTGTTAAACTTTAATACAATATTTGTAATATTCTAGACTACGCTTCTACATATATATATATATATGTGTACAGTTATATATATATACATATATATAAAATTCGCTTTAATTAAAATGTACAGTTATGCATTAGTGATTTTCTTGCTTTTGCTTTTGTAGTTCGTTAATCCTCCCGCAATGTGAGGCATCGCTGTAAATATGCTATTTATATATAGGGTATATAATATCTTGTTTGTTTGTTGTGTAGAACAAAGCTGGGGACGAGATAAAGAGAGAGTTGGGCTTTCTGTCAACTTACGAACTAACTGTACAATTTTTATATAGTTTTGGGTGCTGCTGCTTCGAGTGCTGTACAACTTTTAAAAGGGGGCACGTGGATAATAGGGGTGATTTGGGAAGGGGGTTTGGGATGGGTGTTTGGGTTTTGGTTTTGGTTTTAGGACACTTGTTGCTGCTGGAAGTAAACGATCTTTGGATTGATCGATTTAACACTTGGTCGCTCGTTCGCTGATTATCATCTAACCTCACAGTCTTTTTTCAATGGAAGTAAACCGCCGGCTCCACCACGGCTGCTGTTGTTGTTGTTATTATTATTATTATTGTTGTTGTTGTTGTTGTTGTTATTGCTGTTATTGTTGTTGTTGTTCGAGTTACTGTTGCACGAATTGCTCGAACCCGAACCACTGGCGGAGGGCAGCGAATTGTTGCTATTGTCATAGTTGCCCACATTGACGCACAGCGGCGATGTTGGTCCGGCAACCACAACAGAATTGGCTACACCAACACCACCACCAACACCACCTGTCATTGCTGTCATTGCTGAACCACTTGCACCACTCACACCACTCTCGGGCAACGAGGTTGAATCATGCACATCGGCACTCTTGCTGGAATCAATGACCAGGCAGGGCGGCGACGGAGTACTCGCATCCTTGCCCAGCAACGCTGGCGATGCATTCGCATTCTGCGAATGTGGCGTGAAACTGTTCGGCAACAGTCCACAAGGTGAGGCAACATCTGGCACCAGTGGCAGTGGCAACTCAGCAACTGCTGCTGCTGCAGGCGAGGAGACAACTGTTGTCGTTGGTGTCGCTGTTGTTGTTGTTGTCGTTTGTTCCTTGGCATCCGTTTTGGTGCCAATCACGTAGCCGCCACCAGCAGAGATGCGTGCAATTTTCATGCGCAGTGGCGCCTCCACTTGTGGCTCCTGTTGTGGCGTCGCCGTCGTCGTCGTTGTCGTCTCCGTTTTGCGCTTGTTAATCCGCAAGATGAGCTTTGGCTTCTCGCCGGGCGAGTTGCTGATGGTGTTCTCAATCAGTGTGGTTGTCATTGTGGTGCTGTGCAGACTGTTCAGCAGCAACTGTTGCTGCTGCTTGTGACGCTTCTTCTCCTTCTTGTCGCGCTTCGACTTCTTCGGCTTGACGAGCAGCGTCTCATTGTCGCCGGAGACTTCGCGTTTATTGTTACTGCTGTCGTCGCCCTTGTCAAAGGCACGCATCACCGTCTTGCGAAAGTTCATCGAGTCGCGCCTGATCTCCTCCAGCGTCGGCGTGCTGTACTTGCTGGTCAATCGCTTCTTGGGCGGACAGGCGCGTCGCGTCATCTCGTAGCTGTAGCTGCTGCTGCCACCCTCCGCACCCAGATTGAGTCCGGCTGCCAGGTTCGCATTCGTTTCACTAGCCGCTGGCAAACCTCGCAGCTTAATCATCAGCTTGGGGTGATCATCTTCGCTGCCCTCGAGCGTCTTGCTACGTCCACGTCGCTTGCCCGCACTGCTTGCCGCACCGGTCTTACCATTATCCACACTGCCCGTGCTGCAAGCGCTGCGCCGCCTGCCATCATTGCCCGCAGCACCACCAGCAACACCACCGGGAACTCCTACTCCACCGGCAGTGAGCGGCAACGAGTGCTCGTCCAGTACGGCATTGACGGCGTCCAGCGCACGCAGCTCCCTGCTGATCGAGTTCTTCTTGAAACGTTTCGAATTGGCGGCAGTTGCAGCCGTTATCTGATCCTCATCCAGCTCGCTGGCATCCGACTTGCGCATATTCTCTAGTGGCAAAGAGCCCGAGGCAGCTGGCAAGCCACACGAGCTATCATCATTCAGCGTATCCTTCTGCACCACATACAAACTGAGCAGCTCCTTCTTGCGCATACGCCGTGAATTGCCGCTAACGGAAGCGGTGCTACTTGCCACAGTCGCATTGAGTTGTGTCGTGATTGTAGTCTGCACCACCTGCGTCTGCACCAGCGAGCCACTCGAGAGGCAGCTGCTGTTCGTGGCGCTGCCATAGTGGAGATCTGGATAGGCGAGTGGTCCCTTTATCTTCAGCTTGAGCTGATTGCGTGCATCCGACAGCGAAGCCTTGGTGGTCAGCGTCGTGGTATCCGAATCTATGGACACCTCCTCGGAAGTCGCCTCCAGTGAGACCTCCATGTTGGGCACCAATTCGGGCACAATCAGTGTACTAATTGGCGCCGCTTGATTCGCCTCGCTGGAGTGGAGCGCACCACTGTTCAGCAGACTGCTGCCCGGCACCGCAGGCATGCCCGTTGCCAGGCCAACCACTCCAGTTGCACCAACCAGTTTGGTGGGTGAGCTATTATTGCTGCTGTGATGATTGTTGTTGTTATTGTTGCTGCTGCTGGTGCTGGTGTTGGTTGTGCTGTTGTTGTTGCTGGTGGTTGTGGTGGTGCCCGTGGCACGCAATGCGGATTGAAATTGTCGCTCATCCTCCTCATCGAATTCGCTGAGCGTCTGATCCGCCGTACCCGAGTCGAAGGCACCCAGCAGATTGTTTTGGTATGCCTCCTGGGAGGCGGTGCTGTGCGGTGCCTCAAAGCCCAGGTTATAGGTGCGCATATCCACGGGACCCGGCAGCACTGGTTGCAACAGCGGCGGCTGTGCTTTGTTCTGTCCGCGCAGCTTGCAACTTGAGTAGCTGGTGGTGGTTGCACCACCGCCCGTTGCTCCTGCTGCTGCTGCCGCCGCCGCTGCATTGGGTGCCGTACGCAGCTCGAAGCTGCGTCGACGCAACGATTGCAGATTCTCCACACCTGGTCCGGCCAGCTCATCGTCGTAGTTGTTGAACTCGAAGGGGGTGCCAACCAGATTGTTAACGATGTGCGTATTGCTGCCATAATCGGACATTGGTGGCGGCAGTGGCAGCATTGCGCTTGCCGAACTTCCGCCCCGACCACGACCCCGGCCCCGACCACGTCCACGAGTGCCAGCTGCGGCGCCACTGCCACGTGGCGCACGCTGACGCAACTTGCCCGTCAACGTGTGCGTCAACGGATCGTATTTGGCGGGTGTGGCAGGTGTTGTTGCTGCAGCTGTGGCAGCAACAGCGGTGGGCGTGACGACAGGTGTAGCTGGTGGATGCAAAGCAGGTGATTTGCCGGGTGACTTGCCCTGCGGCAGCTGTGGAGATTTGTGTTGCTGCTGCTGCTGCTGCTGTTGTTGCTGCTGCTGTTGCTGCTGTTGTTGTTGCTGCTGCTTGTGCTGCTTGGAATTGATTCTGCGTTTGCTGGGCGAGATGTTGTCCTTACTGGTGGGCAGTGGTAGAGGCGTGGGTACGGGCACCGTTACTGGTAAGGGCAGCGGTACCGTTAACGACTCCAACGGCACTGGTTGCACCATCGGCGTCAACTGTTGCTCGGCACAACTGCCGAGCATTCCGCCCGGATAGCTGCCATCCACCGGTGAGGTCAACTGATATTGATGATTGGGCGTTGTGGTCAACGTCAGATTGGGCGTGGCATACGGCGTGCTCACATACGGAGTGGCCGGCTGCGAACCGTACAACACTTGACTGGAGGATTCAACAACAGGCTGCTGCTGCTGCTGCTGTTGTTGCTGCTGTTGTTGCAACAGTGCTGTAAATTGTGGATAAATGCTGCCATTGAATTGGGCATTCGGCGTCCTTTGCTGATGTGTTGGCGTCGTCTGCTGCTGCTGCTGTTGCTGATGCTGTGCATTGCTGTTGTACATGGACATGGGATCAATGCCGTTAACCAGCGGCGTATGACTGCCAAAGGAGGCGACACTTGCATTTCCACTATTATTGTTGTTGTTGTTGCTGCTGGCGCTGTTGTTGTTATTGTTGTTGTTGCTGCTGCTCGAGTTGGCTGCTGCTGGCAGCGTTGTTGTCGCCGCTGCTGCTGCTGCAGTTGCTGCTGTTGGTGCACTAACCGCTGCCGCTCCATAGCTATTGTAGTAGCTCTTGTCCAGCTGCTGGGCCAACTGACTCGGCGGCTGATCATTCGACTCGGAGACGGAGCTGGGCGAACTGCTGCGTCGGGCGGCAATCAAATCATTCTCATTCCAGCGCTGCATGCGTCCAAATGGCGACTGCATTCGTGTGTTTTCATCGTAGTCACTCAATTTGCTGTTGTTGCCACCGCTGGGCAGCTGCGATGAGGGCGTCTGCGCTGGCAGTGCACCGCCTGGCGTTGAGCCCACATAGCTGCTGAGGCTGTTCTTGACGGCAGCCGCTGCCAGATCGACAAAGTCGGGCGTCGGCGTTGGCGTTGTTGCCGCCGTCGCCACTTGTTGTCCATTGCTTGCTTTGAGGAGTTGCTGCTGCTGCTGTTGTTGTTGTTGCGGTGTTTGTGGCGAGGATTTGTTGAGGTAACAGCTGAGCGCTGCCTGGGTGGCCTGATAGTTGACATTTGCGTAGGCCAGATTGTTGTTGCTGGTCGCATTTGTGGTGGGCGTGGCATTGGGTGTATTTGTCAAACTATTCGCATAGCTGCCGCCACTGTTCGCGGTCAGCGGTGAATCCTTGATGGTCATCTGACTGGCCACCGAATTGGGTGCCGAGCTGCTAAACAAACAACTTTGCACCTGCTGCTGAGCTTGGTGTTGCTGCTGCTGTTGTTGCTGCTGCTGCTGCTGTTGTTGCAGCTCCTTTTGGGCGAGTATAATATCCTCGGGATCGGCTGCATTGTGAAAGGGAAACACGGATGGGATGGCGGGTGTGGGTGGCAACAGATCCATTGGCTCCTTGCACTCATCGGCCACCGCTTTGCGTTTTGTCTTTCTCAGTTTCTCGACAAGATTGCGTGTGGCCAGTGTGCTGTCCTCCTCGATGCAACTGTTGCTGTTGCCTGCAGCATGCAGCAGACTGGTCATGGGTCCCGAATTCGGTGGATTGAGCACCTGAGCAACGCTGGCCATGTTGGAGGCATAATTATTTGCATATTTGCTGTCCTCCATTTCGAGAATGGCATCCACAATGGGCTGATGCGCTGCATCCAGCTCCAGGGCGGCACAGGCAGATGGCGGTGGTGGTGGCGGCGGTGCAGGAGCAGCAGCTGCAACTGGAATTGCAACTGGAATTGCAACTGGAACGGGTACTGCAAGTGGAACCACAACGGGGGGCTCCGGCAATTGTAGCTCCTGCGGCGTCTGCTGCTGCTGCTGCTCCGCCGAATTGGAATTCGAGTCGAGCTCAATAATCTCGGGAGGTTCGGGTGGTATCACTGTTACCGCTGGGGATGATGTGGATGCAGAATATTTGCTGGCATTCGCCAGCTCATTCTTGCGCTCCTCCTCCAGTTCACGCACCATTTCCATCTCATTGAGCAGATGCTGGGTGTGATGTGTGTGCTCCTCCTCCTCATCCTCGTCGCGCGTTCGTCGCCGTCGCCGTCGGGAACGCCAGCGATTGCTGCGTCTGCGTTCGCTGTGCTCACTGCCCGCCGCCTCGTCATCGTCGTCGTCATCGTCATCATCGTCGTCGGACAACTCATCGTTCGAGGGCGTCGGCGTTGGTGAGGCGGGCAACGGTGCAGCTGGCGGTCGCTCATCAATGTCGGCGCTCAGCTCTGCCAGCTTGCTGGCATTCGCCGAGAGCTGGGTGTGCGTGGGTGCGGTGGTCAACTCCTCATCAATATCCATGGGCTGCTCACCGGCCTCGTTGGCGGGCGCCGGTGTAATCAGTGTTGCGGCAGGCGCAGGCGCTGACGCTGGCTCAACAATGGGTTCTGCTTCGGCTTGAACTGTGGCTGGGGCTGCTGGAACCGCTTGGCTTGGCTCCGGCGCCAACTTAGACGGCGTGGGAGTTGCTGTTGAAGTTGCTACTGCTGGCGCTGCGTTGTTCAGCTGCTGCTGCTTCTTATCCAGCAGCTTGTCTAGTGCACTCGTCGTTCGTCCCGTTGCCGCCTTGCGTTGCGCTATCTCGTGCTCCAGATTCGGTGGCGTCTTCTTCGGTGATTCATCGGCGCGTGATTTGCGCCTGTTGACAGCGGCAGCTGTTGTTGTTGACTTTTCTGACGAGGATTTGGGCGCTAGGGGCACTGCAATGGGTGAGGGTGGTCGCGATTTGGAATTGCGTGTTGCCCGCTTGCTCAGCTGCTCGGGCGCTGCTTGTTGCTTGTTGGACACATCGTCTAGCGAGGATTTGCGTCGCTGGGCTGCACTTAATTTGGCTGAGACAACGGCTGAGGAAGCTGGCGTAATCTTTGGACTCACTTCCGGCACGGCTTTGACGGGCGTTCTCTTTGGCGATTTATTGGTAGAATTCTGACGTGTTCTGCTGGCCAGCGGAGTCGCTGTATGCGGTTTATCCAGCGATTTGCGCGGCGAACGCTTTGGCACCGTCGATGAGGAACTGGCCGCTGAGGTTGTTGTTGCTGCTGCTGCTGCAGTTGCTCCAACTGCTGCTGTGGCTGCTGGTTTGCGCTTCTCGGGCACTGCATCGCTATCGGAGTCCGAATCGCTGGCGCTGCCGCTGCTGGAACTATCGCTGTTGCTGCTCGAATTGCTGCTGCTGCTGTCGCTATCACCGGAACTCGAACTGGACAGATTGGGCGCTGCGATGCTCTGCTTGACGGGCGTAATCAGCTCCTTGGGTCGACGCTTTTGTGTCTCTTTGAGCGAGGCGCGTCGCGCAGGTGTTGTGGTTTGCTGCTTGGCTGCAGGAGCTGTTGCTTTAGGTGGTGTTGTTGTTACGGATGTTGCTGCGGTTGCTGTTGTAGTTGCTGTTGCTGCTCCACTTGTTACTGCCTCATCGCTCTGTGTGTCGAGGTTGGATTTGCCCAAGGCGGCACCGCTGCTCTTCAGCTGCTCGGCAGCCTTTTTGGCCGCTTGTCGCTGTGGCACATACGAAACGGCAAAGTTTTGCAGCTTGGCCACCTCATTATTCCGCGCTGCAGCAGGCGTGGATGTCGATGTTGTTGTTGCGGGTTTCTCTTTTTCCTTTTCCTTCTCCTTTTCTTTCTCCTTCTCCTTCTCTTTCTCCTTGTCCTTTTGCACCTTCGGTGGTCTGCCGCGTTTCCCTCGCTCTGCTGTTGTTTCCGCACCCGCTGATTTGCCCGCTGCCTTTTGCAGCTCCTTCGGCCGCGTTGCTTTATCCTCTGCCGCCAGCCGCGAGGCAGTTTCCTTTGCCTTACTCTTGGCGCCACTGTTGCTGTTGCTGCTGCTGTTGGCATTGGCACTGGCTGCGCTTGGTTCCGGTTCGCGTAGACGTTCGCTGGCATCGGGCAGCGCTGTGGCGAGATTCGTAGAGATGCGCATATTCTCGGAGGCCTTTTTAGCCGCTTGACGTTGTGGCACCACCAGCAGATCCACAGCTGAAAAGGCGGCTGTTGCATTGCTCTTCTTAGTGTTGGCTTTGGCTTTGCTTGTTGCAGCTGTTGCTGCTGTTGTTGCTGCTGTTTTTGCTGATGCTGCTGTTGCAACTGGTGTTGCTGTTGCTGCTGCTGCCGCTGCTGTTGTACCTGGCACAAACTCCTTCATAGCCGCCTTAGTGCGTATCGTTTGTTGATTTTGTGAATCGCTCACATTGCTCTCCACAGCCGCCAGTTCCATCTCCTCCTCCACCTCGTCGTCGTCCTCGTCGGCCTCCTCCCGCTGCGACACCGTCGACGTGGAGCTATCGGAATCGGAGTAAATGTGCTGCGCCAATTTGCGACTTGTTGCTGCTGTTGTCGCACTATTCGCTGCTGCTGCTGTTGCTGTTGCGGATGTCATAGCTGTTGTTGTTCGCGCATTGTTGTTGGCGCTGCCTGGTTGAGTGCGCGAATTTCGCGAATCGGCGAGCTTCACCGGCAGCAGCTCCTCGCTTTCATCGCTGGACAGACTGCCGGCGTCCCGTTGACGCATCTCCTTGTCCATCTGAGCAAGGCCACGTGTCGCTGTGGACGCTGCTGTGGATGCAGTTGCTCCATTACTCGCAAGCTTTCTTCTTGCCGTTGTTGTTGTGGTTGCTGCTGTAGCTGTTGTGCTATGCTTTGACTTAGTTGCTTGGACTTTGGCAGGTACTGCTGACTGCTTGCTGCTACTGTTGACACGCTTCCGTTCGACGGTCGGATGACGCTCATCTTCATCGCTGGAGGAACTGCTGCTGCTTGTCGCCGCTGATCGGGCATCGGCAGACGCCGCAGAAGCACGCGCAGCTGCCTCACTTTGACGTCGCTGCCGCTGCTTCTGTCGCTGCTCAACGCTCCTCGCATACGATTGCTTTCGACTCGGTTTACTAGCTGCTCCCGCTCCCGTACCCGTTCTCGCTCTTCCACTATGGCTATCGGTGGCGGAATCACTGTTGCTGTTCGAAGACGAGGAACTGCTGCTGCTGGCACCATCACTTCGACTCCGACTCCGACTGCGACTCCGGCTGCGACTTCGGCTGCTGCTCCGACTACTGCGCGCCGAGCTGGAATCAGCCGATGATGAACTGCCGCTAGACGTTGGGGCGGACGCAGCCGCAACAGCTGCTGATTTAAGTGGATGCGATTTATTATGGTGGCTCGACGACGACGACGTTGTCGTTGTTGTTGTCGTTGCTGCCTTGTCACTCTTTGAGGCACGCCTCCCCGCACACGGCATCGCCGTGGACGCCGTTAATGGCGCCCTTGGCGAGCCACGTGGCTTGGCGGCCTTATTTGCGGCCGATGTTGTTGTTATTGCACCATTGTTGAGTTTCTTTTTGGGCGAACCCTTCGCCGTTGCAGCAACCGTCTGCTGTTGCTGCTGCTTGCGCTTGTTGGGCGATTGGGAGGCGCGTCCACGTGCCTGCACCTTGCCCATCAGCTGCTCCAGTATGTACTCCAAGCTCTTGTACTGCGCCGGCACAGTTAACTGATCCGCTGAGCTGTAGAAGCGATCGTACAGCGTCGGTCCATCATTCGCATAAATGATCGCTTCTGTATTGAGTGCGGGTCGTTGCAAATCCTTCTGCTGCAGCTGCTGCTGTTGCTCCGTTGTGCTTTGGTTGCCCTGCTGCACGGACTCATCGAGCACGCCGAGCTGCTTGTAGAATACCTGCTCGCGCAGCTTGAACAACGAACGCGAAAGTTTCTCACGCCTACTAACCATATAGCAGAGATTGCGCACACGCTCCAAGTCCTGTCGCAGATGCACAACCAGCTTGTGATTCTCCATATCTTGTTGCTCCTGCTTGCGTGCCAGCATCTCCACATCCTCCGATTTGGGCGGTATGAGTTCGCGATTGTGTCGCGATTTACGCTTCAGCTTCCAATAGTTGTAAATGGCTTCGATTGCATCCTCGTCCACGTCGAACAGATGGCAGCTAATGTCATTAATATTCACATGCTTATCAAATTCCGCCTCCACCTCCTGCAAGGTTTTAAAAAAATTATAACATAAAATTATAATATATAATATATAGTAGAGTTTAAGCAAACAAGAAATGTCCAAATTCGATCCTTGACTCACCTGCAATCGGAGCGCTCGCGCCTGATTGCGCTCCTCGGAGGTCATGTCGTTCTTGCGATGTTGTTTGCGCCTGCGATGATCCTCACCCTTGGCGCCCGCCGTATGATGCTCATCGCCCTTTGACGTTGAATGGCTAGCGAGTTTGTTGTTGTTGTTCTTCTGCAAGCAGCTGGAGGCTGCTGCAGCAGCGGCGGAGGCAGATGTGTGCGAAGAGGAGGCACCCTCCTTTTTGCCCTTGCTCATGCTATGCTTTTGACAATACGAACGCAGCTTGACACCATCCTCCGAGTTGCCCTCCTCGATGATGGCACGCATCTCGAGTCCGTGCTGGAACGCACAGGTGACATGGTACGCAGTCTTGCACGTCTTCACCGAACACTGTATACAGCTGCCGACACGCTCGCGACAAAGTACACAGATCAATGCCCAGCGACTGTGCGGAATGCTTGAGATTTTTGTTATCGGCTCCATGCGATCCACACAGCCAATGCTCACTTCCGGTATCCATAAGGCGCACGAGACATGCGCCCAATGTTTGCCTGATTTGTTGGATTTCATCGCGCCGCCCTTATTCGGACAGAGCACACAGTCCGGCTTGATGCCCATGGAGCAGGTGCGACAAAGCCATTGGCCTGCAACACAACACAATCAATCATTGAGTAAGAGTTGGAATAAGACTAAGTTCTGTTCAAGTTTACCTGATGGAATCGCTGTAATGCCGTAACAAGCCTGATGCACGCAGATGTTGCAATTATCACAGAATACCATTTCGTTGGCCTCCTCGGAGTCGGGCGAGCGACAAACATCACATATAACATTCTCATCAAACTCAATACCCAGACCCTCCTCCTGCTTAAGTATGACCTGAATCTGTTCCCAGCAGCGCACCTGTTAACAATACACATTAGTTTTGAGTTTACATTCGTTATTCTGGCTGGTAACAGGTATTCACCTCCAGCTCCTCGATGACGCGCTCGAATTGCGTTTCATTGATGGGAAATGCGCCGCATTGGGCACGATCGCCATTGTAGAGACGCAGCCAGGACTCATCGATGGGATCAATGTCATAGGCACATGTGTTCTCCGCCAGGGCAACAACATTCGTCAGACAATGCAGATCCGGCGAGTAGTGTTCGTCTTTGGTGATGCGCAGGAAACGATTTTTTGGACTGTAAATGTAAATGAGAATCGATTATATGTATATAGAAACATGCATAGATAATAGAAGCACGTGTGCAACTCACAGTTTAAAGTCATGCGCTGGCGACACTATCGGCTCGGACAGCACATAGACACATGGCTCGGGCAGCGAATCGGGATTGACTGGCACCTGTACGCCCTTCTCCCATTCCTGCTTCCACTGATCGGTTACAATTAGATACTCATAGTTTGCTAACGGCTCTGAGTCTGGCAATTTCATTGCGCTAATGAGATCCTTGCTAAAATGTTAAATATATCAGTAATAGATCTATATAGATTTTGTATAGACAGCTCACCGATAGAGTTCCGCTGGCGCCTCTGTGGAGCTGCGATTGTAGATGCTCGACATTTTAATATCCGCGACGGATCGTGCTTGCCACGCGCTGCTGCTGCTGTTGTTGTTATTGTTGTTGTTGTTGATATTGCTATTGCTGCTGTTGCTGCTGCTGCTCTGCGATTTACTTTTGCTGGCCATCTTGGCCTTGCCCGGCAGCTTCGATGTTGACTTGGCCTGCTGACTACTGCTTTGTTGCTGCTGCTGCTGCTCCTGTGGCTCCAGCAGCGCAGGTCCTTTGGCAGGGACAACTGCTGGTGCTGCTGTTCCACTTGTTGTTGTTGTTGATGCGGATGTTGTTGCTGTTGCAGTTGCGGCTCCATTGGGCGGACGACCTTTGCGTCGCTTTGTGGGCGGCGGTTGCGGTTCAACATCTTGTCGCTGTTGCTGCTGCGGCGGCTGCAACTGCAGCTGTTGCTGTTGTTGCTGCTGCGGCGTCTGCTGCTGCTGCTGCTGATTACCGCGTTTACCTCTTTGTGACATTTTTCATTGGTGTTGTGTTTTGTGTGTACGATTTTCTTAGTATTTGTAATATGTGTGTGTGTGTGTGGGTGTGTTGTTTGGGTTTATCCGTCGAGGAACCGTCGGTGTTCCCTTGTGCTACTTTGACCTCCCGCGTGCCAAGTGCGACCTGCAGACAGGATGCGGGTGATGATATGGTGTTGGGGGTGGGAAAAGATTTGAATTAATTAAATGATTCGGATTTATTTATTGATTTCTTACTACATGCTTAAGGCCACAACTGGCGACACCACAACCACACAGCCGGTTGTTGTTGCTGCTGATGTTGTTGCTGAGGATGCCTCTGCTCGTTGCTGCTTCTGCTGCAGTTGTTTTTATTTATAATTGTATTACACTTGCAATATATATTATTGTTATTATTATTATTCTTGTTGGTGTTGTTGTTTTGGTGATTGTGCTGCTGCTGCTGGCGCCCGTTGAACATGGGAGCCGCTGCCGCTGCACCAGCACTAATCCTGAGTAGCGCCGCCACTTTGCAGTCTGTGTGCCGTTCGTGCACTGGCAATATAAGCAATATAATGCCGCGCTACCGCTCCCCTCTCTCTCACTCCCCTTCGTTTGTGTCTCCCTTTGCTTTTTGTTTTCGTTTCGTATTCTTCTCTTGATTATTTTTGTTGTTGTTTTTTTGTTGCACAGTTTTTTTGGGAGTCAACCTTTGTGATTTGTGATACACGCACGCCTAAACGAAATGCACAGTTAATTTTATTCTGCTATCAATTTCAGTTTTTGTGAATTTGCAAAAAAAAATTCTTTCGCTGTACATTTTCTATGCATTTTTCGTCACAAAAAATACACACAAAAAAACTGAAACTGATGGTCAAAAGGAAAATAGAAAATCGCGTTTGCCTCAAACAAAAGCTGGCAAATGCAACACGCCACACAACATTAAATGCCATCCGAATCTATCTATCTCGCACGCTCGTTTTAAGGGCGCGCGCATTGGCGATATAGGTGCGAGCGAGAGGCAGGTGGCGTGCGTTTTACAGCTGCCAGCTTTTGTGCAAACGTCTTTTTCCGCTCCTCAGTGCCCTCCCCCGCCCCTTCCCTTCTCTTCTCTTCTCTTCTCTTCCTTCATTCATACACACACATTCGATTCGACGTTTTTGCACCTTTTTTCTTACTTTTTTTTTATTGTAGTAATATTATTTGTTTTGGCAAATTGCACATTTTAAGAATGTATATGAAATGATGACCGTGTCCGCTAGTTGGCATTGTCCCGACATTTGTTGCTTTGTTTGCCTGTTTTGATTGTCGCGTTTCGAGCGAATTTTGATTGGATATTTTACTCTGGGCTATGCTTTTGCCGCCGCAGACACACACGCGAGCACTGGCTGCCTTGGCGAAATTGACGTTGCGAACGAATTGCGCGTTACGTTTAATTTGCACTCGCGTTTCGCGCAATTGGCACAATATTTGCGACAAATATGCAATTTTTTACGGATTATTTACAAGATTTTCTTCTCGGTTTCCTTTTCTACGTCTGCCATTTTGCTTTTCGGCTTATCGATTATTAGAGCTGTACCGGAATCGATTATCGATAGCGGCACTAGCCAATGCACAAGTTCACTCATTCCTAAGCAGTTCGAGTTCACGACTATCGGAACCGATATGCCACAACAACAATAACTATTCATTGAAAAAATTCAAATAAGAAAAGTCAGCTTCTGCCCAGATATTCATTTCGTTCTCAACATTGTGATTTCCCATTGTGTGTAAGTGTGTAACTAGAGGTGGCTCACAGTTAGTTAGCAGTTTCGATGTTCAGCAACCAATTTGTTATCGAATGGCCAACAACCACCATCAGCAGCAGCAGCAAAAGCGGAGAACATAGAAAAAAAGAAGCGCAAAACAATTTCGCACAAATATATTTTTTACATCATTAAAAGTAATGTAAGTCGTCAGCAAATAGCAAATGCGACTTGTAGATTGAATCAAACGATAAGCGATAATATATAGTGCGGCGTTTCAAGCCGGAAAAAAACAAGAACCAGCTGCAAATGCATTTCTTTGTCTGAAATTTGCTCGAATAATCTACGAAACGAGTGCCTGAAACGAATAAAAGAAAAAATTGCGAAAAATGTCAACAACTCCAAATTCGAATAGTAGTGGTAGCAATAGCAATAGCAATACCAACAACAACAGCAACAACACTGGCCAAAAGCAAAAGCAGCAACAACAACAGGACACATACAGCGACAGCAGCAGCATCGAGGAGAATCTTGAGGCTGCCGAAGAGCGCAGAAGGCGTATATTGAAAAATCGTAGTCGCAGCAGCAACTACATGCAACGCCAGCAGCAGCAACAGCAACAACAGCAGCAGCAACAACAACAGGTCAACATGTCGAGCGGTGCCATTTCCAAGCATCATCATGACAAATCTCTGACACCAACCACAAGCAGCGCAGCAGCAGCATCCGGCGCAGCTGGAGGAGCAACTGCAGCAGCTGCAGCTGGAGGAGGAGCATCTGTACGATTTGGTCCACCGGACCGCATCTCAATGCTGGTGGATGGTGTCCGTTTCACGGTGGAGCAAACATTGCTCACTGCCCATCCAAATACAATGTTGGGCACCATGTTTGGCACCGGCTTCCAATTTGTGCATCCCAACGAGCGTGGTGAATACGAATTGGCCGATGGCATCTCACATTTGGTATTCCGCTCGATACTCGAATACTATAAGAGCGGCGTGATCCGTTGTCCGCCGACCGTTTCGGTGCCGGAGCTGAAGGAGGCCTGCGATTATCTGTTGATACCGTTTGATGCGACAACTGTGCGCTGCCAGAACTTAAGTGAGTAGTAGCTGGTAATCCCCCATGCAGGCGGCGTCTCTTAGTTTGTGTCGTTCGCTTTGCTCTCCCCTTTCTCTCCCTCTTTCTTTCTTTTTGCCATGCTGACCATGTTGATTTTCAAAGGAGGCCTGCTCCATGAGCTGAGCAACGAGGGCGCTCGCCAACAGTTCGAGGTCTTTCTCGAGGATCTCATCTTGCCACTGATGGTAGCGTCCGCTCAACGTGGCGATCGCGAATGCCATGTTGTTGTCCTGCTCGACGACGACATGGTCGACTGGGACGAGGAGTTCCCCCCGCAAATGGGCGAGGAATATTGTCAGAGTAGGTTGCAATTAGAATAAACCATAATTTGTATATATTTTATACATTTAACTCCCATGCTGGCAGCTGTTCATTCGACGGCCATGCATCGTTTCTTCAAGTACATTGAGAATCGCGATGTGGCCAAGCAGGTGATGAAGGATCGTGGCCTGAAGAAGATACGCTGCGGCATCGAGGGTTATCCCACGCACAAGGAGAAGATACGTCGACGTCCGGGCGGACGGGCCGAGGTCATTTACAGCTATGTGCAGCGTCCGTTCATACACATGTCCTGGGAGAAGGAGGAGGCCAAGAGTCGCCACGTCGACTTCCAGTGCGTCAAGTCCAAGTCTGTCACAAATCTCGCCGAAGCGAACGCTGATCCCCCTCTCGAATTGGATGCAAGTAAGTAGTAAAGATCACTCAACACTTATAATCCTTTTTGACTTACCAATACTTCTTCTGCTGCAGGTGGCAATCCCATACCGCCACCAGCTGTCGTGATCAACGCTCAAGCAAACAATGCTGATCTTGTTGGAGTTGCACCTGTCATTGGTATTGTTGGCGTTAACGTGGTTAATATTGATGCCGCTGCTGCAGTGGTCGCCGTTGATGAAGCCGCCGGCGGCATTGTCATGTTGAATGAGGTGGACCAACAACCGGGTGCAGCGATCGCTGCCCCCGGCATCATTGATGAGCATGTCTAGGCGAGGAGTGGCCCCAAGGGCAATTAACACACTGCCATCTTAGCTGCGCGCACCACAAAAGAGAAGAAAAACCAACAACAACAATGCTTTCTACGTTTTCAATCCAAATTTTGTATACACCACTATCCAAAATAAAAATGAAAACACAAACAACTCTGGATTTGTCAAATTTCAGTGATGATTCTATTTAGTCGCCTAGTTTATCTGATTGGAAAATAACCTTATTTATTGAATTAAATACACATTGCCATGGATTTTCAATTGGATTTGAAAGAAAAACTTGGCTTAGGCACCATCGAAGGATTCACGTTCGCCTTGGACCAGCGTGGACGTCTCCCAGTTAAGGGAACGCTCAATGGCCATTTTCCATTTCTGATAGCGTAAATTGCGCTCCGTCGAGCTGATCTTTGACTTGATCGCTTTGCGGTCATCCGCCTTGGACAGCGGTCCCTCCATATTGTACTGCGGAGCCACTGTCTTATAGGCAGCCATAGCAGCACCCTGAAAGCAAACCAAACAAATATGACAAAAGTAATAAAAGGAGCAAGATTCGCCTCACCAGCGCTGTTGTCTCGGCAATCTTGGCGCGCAGCACATGAATGCCGACGAGATCAGCCTGCAGCTGCAGGAACAGATTATTCACAGTCATGCCGCCATCGACCATCAGTTTGGCCAGCGGAATTTTGCAGTCCTTGTGCATGGAGTCGAGTATATCGCGCACCTGGAAGCAGACCGCCTCCAAAGTGGCACGCACAATATGCTCGCTGGTCGTCTCCTCGCTGAGGCCGCAGAGAACACCCCGTGCATCCTGATTCCAGTACGGCGCATACAGTCCATTAAATGCGGGCACAAAGTACACATCCAAGGAATTATCCACAGTGCTGGCCATGCTCTCAATCTGAGCCGTATTCTGTATCAGGCCCAGATTATCACGTAGCCAGTTGAATGCTGCACCGGCTATGGAAACACTACCTTCAAGTGCATAATAAGGCGTTGCCTTGCGTCCCAGCTGATAACCCACAGTTGTCAGCAGGCCATGCTGGGAGTGCACAATCGATGGGCCCGTATTGTAGAGCAGAAAGCAGCCAGTGCCATAGGTAGCCTTCGCCTGTCCCTTGGCCAAACATTGTTGACCCACGAGAGCAGCTTGCTGATCCCCCAGATCCGCCGCAATGCTGATGCCTCGCAGTGTGCCCGCCGCAATGGTGCCAAAGTGCTCGGCACTCGAGCAAATCTCTGGCAGAATGCTGGCGGGCAGGCCAAAGAACTTGAGCAATGCGGGATCCCATTGCAGTGTCTCAATATTCATCAGCATTGTGCGCGACGCATTTGTCACATCCGTCTTGTGCACACCGCCCTTGGGTCCACCCGTCAGATTGTACATCAGCCAGGTGTCGATTGTGCCGAACATGGCATCGCCGGCATCCATTGCCTTCTTCACGCTGGCCACATTGTCGCGCAGCCAGCGCAACTTGACGCCGGAGAAGTACGGCGAGAGTGGCAGGCCGCAAAGCGGTCGCAAATAGTTAATGTTGCGCGCATTGTTCGGTATCGTCTCCAGCAGATCCTCGACGGTGCTGGTGGTGCGATTGTCCAGCCAAATGATCGCATTCGCCAGCGCCTTACCCGTATGCCGATCCCAGACTACGGTCGACTCGCGCTGATTGGTAATCCCAATAGCCAAAATATTCTGAAAGCATTCAAAGCATTTTTTAATTATAAACGGATTTAATTCACATTACGTTTGTTTAAATCTGATAAGAATCGCTATATATAACATTTTAATCATTAAAGTTGGGGAAAAATGCAAAATATATGTTGAAAGATAATGACTAAGCTTATAAAATAATATGTAAAAACAATATTGACCTTTAAATAACTTTATAGAAAACCTGAATTTGAATTTGGCTCCACACTGCAAACTAACTTTTTCATTGTATCATACTGATTTTGGTGGATCTGCAACACTGGAACGGTAAACAAACAAGGCGAAAGCAGAGAGAAAAATAAACTTGCGGATAACAAAAATAAAAATACACAGAGAGAGCCTGTTCTGTGGGTTGTCGAAAATAATGACTGTATTAATAACAATTTGCCATAAAATTAATAAAAATAACTTAATGCGGCGCTTGAATTTGAATTTGGCGCGCAGCTGAAAGCTTATTATTTCTGTCACACTGACTTTTAGTGTTATGGCAACACTGTTGCAGCGGCGAACAATCAACAAAAAAAAAAACATCAAAAAGCAGAGAGAAAACGAAAGAAAGCTGATAACAACTACAAAAAAGAGATCTTAAACGAGCAAAAGGCGACGTAATAGGCTGTGGGCTGTGGGTTGTGGATCAATTAGTGAACGTTTTTGCCGTTTTCCCCTAAATGTCAAACACCGTCAAAATTCTCTGTCGAACTATTGTCGCCCAGGTCAGTAGAAAGTCACAGCAAGTGCGCAAAATGACCAGCGGCGCGGGGACAACGACAACAGCAACAACAATTGTGGCCGTAGGACAAATGCGAGCAACAAACGATAAAGCCGGCAACTTGCAACAAGTGGAGCAATTGGTGGCGCAGGCAAAGGCGGAGCAGGCCAAGCTGCTCTTTCTGCCCGAATGCTGTGATTTTGTGGGCGAGAATCGCACGGAGACGCTGCAACTGGCGGAACCACTCAACGGCCAACTGATGGGCAAATATCGCCAGTTAGCCAAGCAACATCAAATTTGGTTATCCCTGGGCGGCATCCATGAGCGCACAGGCACTGATGAGGCTGCAGACAAGATCTACAATGCGCATGTCCTGTTGGATGACAGAGGTGAAGTTGCCGGCGTCTATCGCAAATTGCATCTGTTCGATGCGGCCACAAAGCAATTCCGTTTGCGGGAATCGGACACTGTGGCGCCGGGTGAGCGATTGGAGGCACCAGTGGCGACACCAGCTGGACAAGTGGGTCTACAAATCTGCTATGATCTACGCTTTGCAGAGCCGGCGCTGCTGTTGCGCAAAATGGGCGCCCAACTCTTGACGTATCCGGCGGCATTTACCTATACCACCGGCAAGGCGCACTGGGAGATCCTGCTGCGAGCACGCGCCATTGAAACTCAATGCTTTGTGGTGGCTGCTGCCCAGCAGGGCTGGCATAATCCGAAGCGTCAGAGCTGGGGTCACAGCCTGATCATCAGCCCGTGGGGCAAGGTGCTTGCCGATTGTGGCGGCGAACTGGAATTGGGTGTGGCCACCGCTGAGCTGAATCTAGGCAGTTTGCAGGGCATCTACGAGAGCATGCCCTGCTTTGAGCATCGTCGCAACGATATTTACAGCCTGACTGGTTACAATTTGGGTGCAACCAGCTTGGAGCAGGGCGAAGATCGTCTCTTTGCGGACAACACGGTGGACAAGCGCACCATATTTTATGAGACGGAACATTGTTATGCCTTCACCAATCTCCGTTGCGTCGTCCTTGGACATGTGCTCGTCTCCACGAAGCGTGTCGTTCCCCGTCTGAATGGACTCAACTGTGCCGAAATCACAGATCTGTTTGCCACCGTTTGCATGGTGCAGCGCATGCTAGAGCGGATCTATGGCACCACTTCGGCAACGGTCACCGTGCAGGATGGCGCCCATGCGGGCCAGACAGTGCCCCATGTCCATTTCCATGTGATGCCACGACGCGATGGCGACTTCGGCCACAACGATCAGATCTATGTTAAGCTCGAGGATTGCGTGGAGAAGCAGCCGCCGCGAACGCTCCAGGAGCGCATCGATGAGGCCGAAAAGTATCGCAAGTATCTCCAGAAATAGGAGAGTTAAGCAGCTTCCATATTATTTATGCCATATACAAATGTGTATCAATAAACTATATTTTTTATAAGCAACGAAAATTATTTATGTCGTTTCTTGGTGGAGAAATGCCCTGCTATCGAAAAAAGGGCTCAATTTTTTAAGTAACCTTTTAAACCACGACTGATAACGATTGAATATATCCAATGAGTACACTAGGACTGGCAACACCTTAACTTCAATATACCCAATCAAAAATATGTACAGGGTGCACAGACTACAGACTGGTAACACCTCAAAATTATTGGCTCACCTCGATTTTGCCGCCCAGTGCGACCAGCTTTTGGCAGGCGCCCTCTATGCAATCGTTGACAGTGTTGGTAATGACGCACGGATCCTGTTCACACCAGCCCTCCTTGACGAAAATCGAAGGCACCTCGATTTGATGATAACAGACAATGTCATCGGTACCCGCACGAAATATCATGAAACGAGCCGATGTGGTGCCCTCATCGATGGCGCCAACAAATGGACCAGCCATACTGGCATCTCCTGCTTCACTTCCAGAGCTATCCATTTTTTATTTAAAATGTATTGAGGGATTGCGTATGCACAGCGACCGGATACAAGTATAAGCACTAATCGAGCTGTTTTGCGATTGTCGTTGACATATTGGTTGGACGGTCGATTGAGATAAGATATTGTGCCCAGCCCCTCTGTAAAAGCTTCTGTGGCGTGAACTATGCCCCCTCTCAAAGCCCGTTCCGAAAACGTAAATATTTATTGCGGATGTGTATGGAAACACTCGGAATACACAAAACAACGACGTTTATGTGGCAACAAATACGCGATTTACAAATTCAAGAATTCATTATATTATATACATTTGCGTTGGAAACACTTAGAACAGCTGAGAAATTAGTCGAGTCGATTGAAATAATCGAAATATTTAGTAATCTGACTCGCAAATTCGTCAATTCAGCGTTTACCGCAAACGGTCACACTGTAACCGCTGTTGCCAGTTGTTTCACCTGAAAATGCCGGCCAAATGCTTCAAATGTTTGCATATTTTTATCAGTGAGCCAAAGTCATGTCAATATCAGAGCAACACATTGTCGGACTACGCGATCTGCTAGTTAACGAAACAAACATACCCGTGCTGCTGCAATTAACCAAAAGTGTGACAAAAAATGTCTGCAAAGTTGAGGAGCCAGAAGGTAAAACCAATGAGACTCGAAGAATACAAGACAAAAATAAAAAGTTATTTTTGATATTGATCTTCACAGAGGCGCTTGGCTATCTTACTTCGCATGTGGATGATATACACAAGCTGCTGCACAAGCGTCACATCACCAGGGATCTGTTATTTAAATATTTGCACACACGCTTGCCGTGCACTTCAACAGATTTCACCAAAGCTGATCTGGTGATGAGAGTGATAAAATATTGGGATCAGCAAGGAGCAAGTCAGAACCTTGCAATTGTTGGTACTCACAACGCCGAGGAACAGCAATTTCCCATACACTTAATTGCGCGCAAATTCGGCGAATGGTTTTTCAACAAATACAACAATAATGACTTGTGCCACACGGATCTGTGGAGCGATGCAGCGTTGCATCTGAAAGTGATTGCGGATGATGGGGCAAGTGAGCTGGAGTGCGTTGGCGTTGCCGAAGTGTTGGACGCACTAGTGAAAGCAAAGCAAACATTTGACTTCTATTTCAATCCGAATCTTTCGCATTCGGGTGTCCAGGGCCGGATGGATCCATATGGTCAGGTTGTGGTGCTCTGCTGCGGCACATTGCACTCAGAGCAGAGATCCGTTGGCGTCTTTGAGTGCTCGTTTGGCTTGTTGCGCGATCCGCATGCGTGCAACAATTGGAAGCCGAAAAAGTTCAAGTGCCTGCTGCGCAGTGCAGAGAGTCCACCGCCTCTGCACACCCTAATCGAATGCGATACACTGCAGGAGGCACTGGCGCTGCCAGCACCCAGTGATACACTGGACCAACTGTGACTGACTAAGAGCTCTCGTTAATGGATATTTATTTAATTAGAATATATTTATATGTTGTATACATATCTAGTCTGTTTAAACTGCCGTCAAACCTGCAAATTTTTACTTGATTTGCTTCAAAAAACAATACAAAAAAAAATGACAATAAGACAAAAGCAAACAATAGACTTAAATGTTGTAAATCAAAAATTCAATTCCTATAAAAGTAAGTAAAGACCACTAAATTTCTGCTTCTTTTTCTCTCCTGTAAGAACTTTGTAATCTTATTTGATCTTCTAGTTTATCTTTTGCGTTTAGGCAATTTAAACAGGCAGTTTAACTAAAGGAAAATCTTCAGCCTATATTCATTTTACATTACCTGTTTCTGGATTTCAGTTTGGATCGGCGCGCTCCAGTTTCAATCTGCGGATAAAATATACGAGAGAAAGAGAGAATATGTTTCTCAGCAAAAAACGCGATTTTTGAAGATCAGACAACTTACGCCCCGACGTGTGGCATTGTGTCAGTTTCAAGATGCGCACTCGACTTTTTCCCAACATTTCCACCAGTTGCTGCAAGGTTCAGAAAAGACAACAACAATTAAAGCGTTTTTTTTTTTGATTCACAAAAAAACCGCATCGGTTTTTTGTTTTGTTTTAAATGGGGGCAAATAAATAGAGATAGCTGCCCATAATTTTTTAGTTTTTTTTTTGTTATGGTATAAACTGATTTTTGTACGGCCCAAAAATAAATTATTACCAGTTGTGCTGAAGGAAGCATCCTCTTTAGACGTTAAATTTCTATCAGCAGTGGGGCCCACTGAAATGGTATCAAATATTAATAACAATTTCGGTACAAACTGCAACTAGGCGTAGTAGTTATATATATACTATATATATTGCGAGTGTCTGTGTGTTTGTGTGTGTGTGTCGGTAATTGCTATGGTGGGTGTTTTGTTCTGTCATAAATACATACATACATGCATACATATACATATATATATATATATATATTTATATATATATATATAAAATGTATTATATATTACTTAGATGATATTTAATAAAATGATGTCGTAGGCACGCGCACAACACACATAACAATCTTAATCACTGAAAGAACCACTGAACTTATGTACATTTGTCCTATGCTCGTAATAATTGTATGTAGTATACATAGTAGCATTGTATTATATAATATAGATTTGTGTATCTGGGGTGAATGTGGTCTTTGAGGTTCAGTGAGAGTTGTTTTTTCTTTTTTGTTGATAACGATAAACTTGGGATAACTAACATCGTCTAACGAAATTGGCTTAGCGTCTAGAAAATATTGAATTACGTTTATTTTCTCTGTAGTTGTCTCTTCGCAGTGTCTTTCGCTCAGTGTACTACATTTTCTCCTGTATGAATGGATGCATTAGTGCCTGATTGAGAGATATACGCTTGCCCGGATCCAAAGCGAACATATTCTCCAACAGATCCTTCAGCTGTGTCACCTTGCGCAACTGATCATCGGGCAAATTCTGATCGGCGATGAGCTCCTGTTGCAAATTGCGAGACGGCTTCACAACCGGCATCACAACGATCTTCTCCTGCAAGTGCCACAAATATTAGAACAATGATTTAGGGGGATATTCACATATACAGCTACTTACCCTCTCCGTTAGCTTGTCAATCTCGTGATAGAGAAAGCTGCAGCTCTGATCAAAGTGCTGATCTTTAAACTGACCCTTGCGCACAATACGATTGGGTATCTTGCCCTTGACATCCATAAAGAATTTGAGCATTTGATTGTTGCTCTTGCCACTGAACAGAATCTTGCCCGTATACAGCTCGTAAATGGTGCAGCCAGCAGACCAAGTATCGATGCCATAATCATAGGGTATGCCCATTATAATCTCTGGTGCACGATAGAAACGCGAAACTAAATACGGCGTTATTTCATTCTCACTGATGCCTGAAGCGGAGCCAAAATCGCACAACTTCAATATTAAATTATTCTCATTGACCAGAATATTGTCGGGTTTGATGTCCGCATGCAAAATGCCCGTCTTCTTGAGCAGCTTGAGGGCGAGAAACAACTGCTGTGTATAGCTGCGCACCGCCTTAATGTGCAGACCCACATTCTTGCCATATTTCTTGAGCACCTCGCGTAGATTCATTGCCAACGGCTCAAATACCATGCACAAATGCTAAAAGTGGTAACAAGTTAATGGTTAAATAGTCTAAGATTAATAGTTTAGAAAAATAAAACGCACCTGCTTGTGAAAAAAGTGACGATACAAACGCAGGCAATGGAAACGATCATCGGGATCAGCATCGTTGAGCTTCTTTAGGATTTCCAATTCGCGCAGACCAGTTTTGTGCCTTTTGTGGAAGGGGTATCAGTTAGTAAAGAATACTACTTTTTTTTTGTTGTTGCTAACTTACATGATCTCATTGTTGCGTATAATTTTGATGGCAACGTTGGCGGAACCACGCGCCTGATCGCGACCACGCACCACATTACTGAAGACGCCCTGGCCGGTGTAGCCGCTGACAAGATAGCGATTGTCGAGCACCTCGCCAATGCGCACCCGATAATAGCCTTCGGCATCATCCCAGTTGTCGGTCAGCGCCGGATTCTCATTCTGATGCTTGCTGTGCACAATTGTGCTGGGTGACTAAAAATACGGAAAGCATTAATTGGGTTTGTTTTTGGTATTGGTTTTACAGCGCAAGGACAGTTACAAGCCTGCGACTCACATCGAAATTGGAATCGACATCCTGATCGGCGAACATGTCCCACTCGTTGCGCTTCTCCTTTGTGGCGCTATTCTTGGACGAGGAGTTGGCATCGAGTGGCTCGCTCTTATCATGTTCATCCTTCTGCTCCTGCTGCACCTGCTCCTCCTGCTGCTCCTTGACATCCCCGCTCGGATTGGGTGAGATGCTGCGCCCGCGTTCAGGCCTAGATGAGCCGGGTGAAGTACTCGTGGACTCGTACGAGTTGGATTTGCGTGGCGTTGGGCTCGCCGTACGCGACTCAGTGGTGCCAAATTTCTGCCAGGATTTAAGTGCAAATGTTAGCAAAGGATATGTTGATAAAAATCAATCAGTTTACCTTTAGTAGCTCCTCGCGCCGCTTGCGGCGCTGCTCAATGATGCGCTCCTCATCGTCGTCGTCCTCGTTGATGTCAATATCGAGGAGATTAACCTCCTCATCGCTGCTCTCCTTGTCATGCATTTTCTGACCCTCGCTCAGGGAGCCCTTGTAGCGATCCCGTTCCGCCACGCCGTTGCCAGAGCCGCGTGCACCACGTGCGCCACCACCACGATCCAGATTGAGCTGCTGGCGTTCGCGTTCGCGTCGCCTATCGGACTCAAACTTGCTGCGACTGTGCGAACGTGGGCGATTATTCCAGCGTGAATCACGATCACGATCTCGATCACGGTCTCTCTCCCGCTCCCGCTCTCGCATTCGACCAGCGCCGCCACGCTCCGTCGGCTGCTGCTGTTGCTGCTGTCGGGGACGTTGATCACGATCGCGACTATGTTCGCGTCTTTCGCGCTGTTTGTCCCGATTGATCTCTTGTCGCAGATCTTCCATATTCCGATTGTTCTCCTGATAGCGACGATGCTGAGGCTGCTGCTGTTGCTGCTCCTGGCGTCGGCGTGGCGTGCGACTGCGTTGATCACGTGGTGCACGTTCACGCGAGCGTCGATCACGTGAGTCTCGAGCATGTTGACGTCCCACTCCAGCTGCTCCAGCACCCGATGAGTTTCTTGGCTGTGGACTGGCATGACGTCGTCGCTTCTCCGGTGTGGGCGATGGTGTGCGTTGGCTACCGCTAGAATCATCCAATAATATAACATCGGTATCGTTTGAGTTATGGATGTTAGTTGGTTTTGTATTATTAACATGTTTACTAGTTGCAGTTGCCGCCGTTGCTGGCCCTGCAGACTGCGAGGAGGGGTTTGGCCTACGCTTCGCCAGCGTCTCGACAGCTGCTGACTTTGCTGTTGGTTGCTGATGAGGCTGCTCCCGCTGCTGCGGCTGCTGCTGTGGCGCCTGTTGCTGTTGCGAGTGGCGTAGATCTTGTTCGTCGTTCTTGTCGTTGTCATCACGCTGACGCTTGACCACCACCAGCTGCACCGAATTGGAACGACTCTCGTCGCCTTCGGTGTCGGACATGTAGGCGCCCAGACGCGCCTGCAGCAGCGCCTTTTGTCTCATCAGCTCCTCCAGATTGAGCTCATCATCCAGTTTTGGCGGCAACACTGGACTATCAATATCAATGGGGCTGCTTATAAAAAGATATAGAAAACATATGTTAATAATTGCTTAATTTGTTGCCAATACAATAAACAATAATTTGTTAATCATATATAACAATATAAATCATTTGTTTTTGCGACATTTGCAGCACTTACACTTCACTCTCACTGCCCGAGGAGGCGACCTCCAACACTGGCAGCACTTTATTCTGTATGGTTTTTGTGATCTCCTCGACAAGGCTGCACGGATCCGTTTGAATATTTGGCTTAATTATGCGAAAATCGGCTCCATTCGGTGCCCGAATTGCGCTGCGTTCACGGCTCGCCTGCATAATCTCTGTGAATTTACTGCTGAGGCCACCGCCGCCTCCAGTGGTGGTTGAGGAGGAGTTGCGCATTTGTTGTTTATCGGATGCATTTGAGGATTCGCTGGGGCGATGCGAGCGCTTCTTTGACTTTTTGTGCTTCTTGTGCACCTTATTGTCACTTTTGCTCGATGACGTTGACTTTTTGTGTTTTTTGTGCCTTTTCGATTTTTTGTGCTTGGCGCGACGCTCTTCTTCTTCTTCCTCGCTGTTGTCGCTAGAGTCGTAACTGCTCCATAAAAAAAAGTTAATATACATACACATACATACAGGTACGCACACACACAATCGCATATAACCTCACAAAGCCTCGCTTTTGCTAATTTTCCTTACCTTTTATCGTCTCGCGTCATTGTTTACAACTATTAGCGCATAGAGACATGCACTGCTTTTTGTTTTATTTGTGATAATAACGTTTTAATTAATCTTTGGTGCGCTTTTTGACATTTGCAAAATGCAATTGTTTCAAAACGTTTTGACTACGTTCGTTTGAACGATTACTCAAATGAACGCAGAGACTGACTATCGCTCATTTCAGCTTAACAGAGTGTTCAGGCTCATTTAATGTTATATTAACATAACAGTGCAAAGTTGAGTTGCGTGGATATCGATTAACCATTACACATTACAAGTTGATCGATAAATATATATTATTTACATCAGCCGGCAAGGGAATGCTAGCAAAATTCCACCGTTTGTTTTTCCCACGATCATTCATCCAAGCACAACTTTATTATTTACTACGTAAATCGCGGCCGAATAGCACCGTCATCGCCATGGATAAAGTGTATCTGCGCAATGCTCAGGACACTGATGACTTGCACATCACGTTCCGTTATGCCAACAAAGCACTAAAAGTGGATCGAGATTTTAATTTCTGCAGAAAAATGGATGAGCGTGTGGATGAAGCTTTGATTCGCATACGCGGCAATGTCGAGAAGGAGTTCGCCAAACGCAACAAGAAGAAGAACAAGAAGGCGGCAGCCGCAGCTGCAACAGAAACATCTGAGAATACACTGCCCGAAGCGCCAAGTGAGATTATTGTGGAACTTCAGCGAGAAGGATGCGAAGATCGTATATTGGGCATCACTTTCGCCCAGCTGCTAACGCAGATTGAAGATGGACTGAAGCTGCGTGTGCTGGACACCACATTCGATGTGGTGCTTAATCAGCCGTGGACGGGAGCTCTACAGCTGCCCAGTTGTATTTTAGCTGGTTGTCTGGTATATCCTCTGAAATTGGAACTGCAGTTTGCCAGTCGGGAACACTGTTTGGGCCAATGGTACAGAACACCAAAACCACCAGCAGGCGGCATACTCAATGAGAAAACAAAGTGGGAGCCTTGCGGAAAGGGATTGATTTATCAGGTTAAGGCCGAGGATATTGATTACCATTTAAAGTTAGAAGTTACGCCAGGCAATGAGAAAGGATTGTTGGGACCACCAACCGAATGTGTAAGCAAATCCTCCGTACAACAAGCACCGACTTCTTTCCCCTTCGAGCAACGTCAGCAATACACAAAGGAGCCACTGAGCAATCCGCTTGGACAACGAGTGGTTACCTACAATCTGCTGGCGGATCTTTATGCAGATGGCGATTATGCAAGGAACACATTGTTTCCCTATTGTCCTGCAAATGCTCTGAAAATGGACTATCGCAAGCAGTTGTTCATCAAGGAGCTGGTCGGTTATAAGGCGGATCTGATGTGTCTGCAGGAGGTGGATCTGAAGATATTCGAGCATGATTTGAGACCAGTGCTGGAACAGTCGCCTTATGGTTACGACGGCATCATGACGCCCAAAGGCAACTGTGCCGAGGGCATTGCGATCTTTTATCGCTCGTCCCGCTTTAAGCTCCTCAACAAGTATGATTTGCATTTGGGCGACAACCTCAGCACTTTGCCCATCTTTGCTGGACTCTGGAACAAGATTAAGCAGAATGAAATGTTGGCGTTGCGCATTTGTGAACGCTCCACAACGCTGCAGCTGTGCCTGCTGCAGTTGAAGGATTCGGGTCGGTATCTCCTCGTGGCCAATACACATTTGTATTTCCATCCGGATGCGGATCACATACGACTGCTCCAGATTGGTTTCTCGCTCATTTTTGTGGAGCACATCTACAAGCTGGCGATGAGAGAGCAAAAAATCGATCCCTCGAATATTGGGCTTATATTCTGTGGGGATTTCAATAGTGTGCCAGAATGTGGCATTTATAAGCTGATGACGGAGCGATTTGTCGGCAGTGATTTTGTGGATTGGCGAAGCAATGTGGAGGAGGCTGTGCAGGATGTTGAACTAAGGCAACCCTTTCAAATGAACTCAGCATGTGGCACACCCGATTATACCAATTATACGACGCTCTTTGCCGCCTGCTTGGATTACATATTCTATGAAAGCGATCGCTTCAATTTGGTGCAATCGGTGCCGTTGCCCAGCGTGGAGCAACTGAGCGAACATCAGGCAATACCTTCCATCACATTTCCCTCGGATCATGTCTCCCTCATCGCAGATCTAGCATTTAAATCTAACTAATTGCAATGTTGTATACTAATGTAAATAAATTGTTTTTATTTCTGTGGATTGTGTCTTTAACTGGCCACGGCAACATCTCCAACATGATCATCCTTTTCGATGCTCAACTCGAGGACTGCATCCTCGTCGACCGACATAGACATCGAGGAGATGGGCTCCTTGGAGCTCTCTGTGGATGACGAGTTATCCTTTAATTTGTCGCGATGGCCATCGAATTTATTGGCTCCATCCATGTTGTTTAGTTCATCGTCATCGTCATCATCGCTGACCTCCATAATGCCATTATTATCATTTAATTCGAAGTGGGCCTCGCTTTCACTCGACGACGACGACGAAGCTGAGCTGTTCTCATCCTCCAGCTGCTGTTTCAGCTCATGTATGGTATACATGAGCAGCGTGAAATCGTTGCGACGCTTCTGGAACTTGTGCTCCATCTTCTGTTGCTTTTGTGTCAGTTTGTCGATCTCCTTTTTGATGATATCGATGTGTTTCTCCGTTCCCTTGCGATCGGGCTGCTCCTCAATCAGCGAAGTGAGTAAATCGTACTCCATTTTATTTTTACGCAGCTCCTTGGCTATGATTAGTTCCTTTTTGCTCGACTCAATCTGTTCCTTGGCGATTTCGATACTTTCCTCATGTTTCTCAATCAGTTTTATATAGTTTTCATGCTCCTCCTTAATCATCCTCAGCGTTTGCACATTTTTCAAAGCTGCAAATTGACATTGCGCGAACTGCGCCATCAGACGATCGTACATTATTTGGCTACAATTTCAGATTGCTTAACAATTGTTTATAATTATTAAATTATTTATTTATTTACTTGGTTTCTTGCGAATCGTTTTTGGAGTTGGCCCATTTTAGAAACTGCTTTAGTAGCATATTCAATCTGCGGTCTTCGCCGGTGCCATCGCCATCAATTAGCAGACGCTGCTTGATAATCTCCTCTATAAAAAAATATATTGTTATTTATATTTAATATATAGAAATACAATACTTACCGTCGTTCATTGCTGTTTTTCCTTTTGCTCAAACCAAAAAACCGGCTGTTTTATGCTGATTGCACGCTTGCTTCTGCAGACATATCGATAACAGTAATCGTGTATATCGGTGCTATAGTTACCAGATTTGTATTAAGAAGCACTTCATGCGGTTTTCCTTGTTAACATTTAGTTCTTGACTGATAAATAAGTAAAATGACTGCTGTGCCACCGCCCGCAAATATCTCCACGCTAATGCCACTGGGTAAGCAATGAATTTTGTGGCATTAATAGACAATTGAAACGTTTAAATGCTGTTCGCAGAGCTGGTGGACAAATGCATTGGTTCGCGAATCCATATAATCATGAAGAACGACAAGGAAATGGTGGGCACACTGCTTGGCTTCGATGACTTTGTCAACATGCTGCTGGACGATGTAACCGAATATGAAAATACGCCCGATGGACGACGTATCACCAAGTTGGATCAGATCCTCCTAAACGGCAACAACATAACAATGGTGCGTGTTCGAGTGAAAAAGAACTATACTCCAATTATGATTTGTTTTTTTTTCTTTATAGTTGGTGCCTGGTGGCGAGCTGGCCGAATAACAATATTCCATTTACTACTGTTCAATCATAAACAACATAAACATTAATAAATCAACAACAAAAATATCAATTATTTCTAGCTGGTCACACATCAGAGCGCTGCCAGCCAGGCAGTTGGTTTATTGGGATAGGTGGCAGCACCGCGCATGTGCAGTTTTAAATTGAGCGCTCTCAATTCTTTCTACGGCTTTCGAGCATGCAACAACGGCTTGCTGGCTAACAGTCAACATGTGCCATAAATACTAACGGTAATATTCTGGGTGCATGCCCGTTCGTTCTCCCATTGTCCGTTCTCCGCTCGCCTCTGTCAGTTCAGTCCGGCACCACACTCGAACGGAAGTGGAACAAACGAAGCGGAAACACACACGACGGTTGCCGCACCGTTTTGTGGAAAACTTTTTCAACAACAACAACCAAACTCATAATAATAGCAGCAATTTTGTTTGGTCAACCTTATGACTAATTATTAATTAATAAGCGGCGAGCATTTGAAGTGAGCTGGCTGAGCCATTTTAAATTGTGTTGATTTTATTTTAAATATTAAATTTATATATAGGAAAAACTTTTAGTGCCATTTTTCGTCGGTATCTGTCGGCCTTTTTTTTCCGAGAAATTTAAACGCATAAATTCAGTTGGCCAGAATTATGATTATTGCTGGCTAGGAAATCAATATATATGTATATATGAGCAGCAGCTGCCAGAGCATTGCGACGGCGGCGAGCAGTGCGGCAACAACAGCAGCCGCCGTCTCCATGTCCGTCTCGAATGCCACCTCCGTGGGATCGCTAATTGCGGCCGCCTGCATGCAGCAGCAGCAGCCGCATCCGCACCAGCAGCATCCGCATCTGCTGCACCATCACCAGCAGCATCCACAGCAATCATCGACAACTGCATCGCACTATGTGAATGGAACGGGCAGCTTGGGTCGCTTGAAGTTTCATCATAAGAGTCTCGATGCCAGCGATGAAGAGCTCGAGTATGCGCAGGTATGTCGTGGTTGTATGTTAACATCATTAATTGATATCTATAACCCGGGGTCAGATGAGCTGCTTGTGTTGGGTTCTTGGGTTGGGGAATGGCGGGTTCCCTTGGTGGTTTTGCTGCTTATTGAGTCATAATATGAATGTCCTGCAGCGTTGGCTCAATTGAAATTTCCTTGTGGCGGGTGGTGCTCAGGGTGGTTCTGTGTGTGTGTGGGGTGTGTGTGTGTACCGTCTCTCTATACACATACTCTTGGTGGTGGCTTTTGGGCATGCTGGGAACATGGCTGATTTCGAGTGGGTGGCGTGGGTGAAGGCTACAAGCCAGAGGCTAAAGGTTGCCTCAGCTGTTTAACCTCTGGCTCGACTACATGGCCAATAGGTGGAGTTTACGCTTGGCCAAACAATTGGCCAACAAACACACACAACAACCATCAGCCGTCAACAAACACAAAACAACGAAAAGCAGAAAAAATACCGACAACCAAAGCTGCGCCTCGCCAATCAACTTTAAATAATTCAATGCCCCGGAAGTATACGAAACACACAGCGAATCACCCCAAAACCAAACCGGGGCCCCTTTCCTCTCTCCTCTCTCCTCTACCCATTAGCCGGAAATTAATTGAATCATGGTTTTTATGACATTTCTGTGCGTATTGCATGAGAAATGGAAATTGTTGCCAAAGCGCAACTTTATTATAATAAAAGTTTCGGTTACCATATGTACTATGTACTATGTATATTTGGAATATGTTATTTTTATTGTGCAGTGCACTCAAAAAAATATTCGATTCAATTACAGAGAATTTAGGATCTGAAAAATCTAGAATGGTCTAGATAGCTCGGGTTGGAGAGACCCTTTGCTGATAGTAGTTGCTTAAATATGAAAATATGTTTTCGATCTAATGAAAATAAAGTACAAGAACTTATGTATATACTAAATATAAAATGTCTCTAAGATGGTGCTGATCAAGATTATATATATATGTATGCCTAATGGGCTCGAAGATGCCTCCTTCCACCTGTTGCATTCTTCCGATTTTGAATGGCTTTGGTGTATAAACTTATAATGCAATCATATATCATATCAGTTATCTATGCTATGAAATTATTCAGTTGATATTAAATGCATTTATTTATACATTTCTGTATATATTTTTATTTTTCTAGATATATATAATCATTGCCTGAGCTTTTGTTCAGTTCTCTGTCCATTTGTGAGCATAAAGTTTGCTCTAGAAAAAACCCCTGTCACATTTCTTTGGCTAGCTGGCCCAAGAGTCCAATAACATTTATTATTTATAAATGTGCTCGGTAAATTGATAAATATTAAATGCCGAAGCAAAACTAACTTTTCACTTTTGATGCAACAAAAGGTGTTTATGACTTAAGATTGTCAGACTGACTATTCATTAAAGTGAATGTTCATTTGCTTGAATAGAGCTTTAAAGGAAGGAAAGGGAAGGGAAGGGAAGAAGCAGGAGCCAGTAAGCCATTTATGGCATTTTCATAAATGTCCTGCTGCTTTCTCTCACTGCTGAGCAATAAAGGTTTAATGAAAGGCTGTCTATTTTACTGTGAGTGTTTGTGTGTTTAGGTGTGTTTGTGTGTCTTGTGTTTGCCTCCCATTGTTCTGTCGCCCGTTCAACCGTTTGTTGCCTCAGTCTGCTCAGTGAAAGTGTTGCCTCATAGTGTATTCATGGAAAACTTTTTGATAAAAGTTGAAAAACGTGCAAATGGGCGAATAGGAAGGAATGCTTCTTCTGCCACTTCTTGCTGCCCCTTCTTGGTCAGGTCAACAGTTGGGCAAACATCATTTTTGAAACGGCAGCTCGTTATCCGCCTGCGGTTATTTGGTGTGCCACATTTGTGGCTTGATAAAAACTTCCTTGCACTTTTATTTCAACATCCTCGTTTGACACGTTTGCAGCTGTCGCGTTCCACCCATATCCTGGGTCGCTACAAGTCGGAGCGTCTACTGGCCTCCAATCCGGATGAGGATCGGCGACGTCGCACCATTATTGTGGAGAAGAAGAACGACTCCTACGGGTTTACGCTGCAGAGTTATGGCATTCACTACAAGTGCGACGAGGAGCTGGAGATGATCACCTATGTAGACTATGTGGAATATGGTGGACCAGCGTTCCGTGCGGGGATGCGCGAAGGCGACGTTATACTCTCCATCAATGGCAACGACATGGAGAAGGCGGATCACAAGACTATCGTTGAGCTCATCAAGAAATGCGATATGCGCATGCGAATGGTCGTCCTCTTTGAGGATTGTGTGCGAAAGGTGAGCAAGACTATTTATATACTCATTGAATATGGGTGAACAAGGAGTCTAGAAGTCCGTTTAGAAGACTGTCTAGAAGATTGTAAATGCATTATCTAGTAAGATATATACTTCTAAAATTCAGGGCAATTATTAGGTCTGACTCTACTCAGATCTAGTTTAGTTGTGCAACTAATAAGTAAGAAAGAAGAATTGACAAGAGTTTAAACATTTCCACATCTTGTGCACCCCTCTAGGTGGATCTGCACATGCGCTACATCCAGCTGCAGAGTCTGCTGCAGCAGAAGATGAACGAGTTGGAGCGAGTACATCTGCGGGAACGGGAGCTGCTCGAAGGCAAATGGAAGACGCACAGTTTGCCGGCGCGCAAGAAGGCGAATGCGACTACCACCTCACCAAGTGATGGCGACGGCATCTCACCCACCAACGAGTCCAATCTCAATGAGTTGACAACGTCTACGATGTCGTCGGGCTTCTATCGTCCGGTTGCCCTCTCCACGGAGGATGTGGCGAATCTGGCGCTCAGGCAACAACCGATTATAATACCACCGCCAGCACAATTTATGCTCACCTATCACTATCTGGATCCCACATATCGATATGTGCTAAGCCCCAACAACTACATGGATGGTGGTGGTGGACTGCAGCGGAGCAGCAGTGGCGATCATCATCAGGGACAACAGCAAAGATATCTGTTGCAGCGCACGGAATCGGTGGACACGAATAGTGTTAGTGTTAGTCAGGCAACCGCTAGCACCACACAGCCCTATCACAGTGCCAGCGCTGGTGTTGCTGGAGGTGGTGCGACAGTCAAACCAGTAGCCCCAGCACCACCGCCACGCACCTGTGAGAAGCACAAGCCACCACCAGCACAGTCACAGCCACCAGCCACAAAGCTGGAGAAGTCGAAACATTGTCATGTGGGTCACTCGTGTAATCCCTGCCTGGGTCACTTTCGCTGGAAGTCCGCCGAGAAGGCAACAACAGCCACTCAGAACAGCAACGGGGGCGGGGACAATGTCAGCTTGGATGCCTACGATTTGGCCAGTCCCTGCTGCGATACGCAGTGTGTGCCAAGCAGGAGACGTCATCGCCAGCACAAGGAGCACGGACACAAGCACAAGCATCGCGAGCGGGAAAGGGAACGCTCCGAGACAAAAGAAAAGCATCCTCCGGCAACAACAACATCCAATGCACGTACCAAATCCCAGTCGCATGCGTCGCCAGCGGCGGCAGCTGGTGCTGAGCGACCGGTGAATGCGCATCATCATCATCACCATCACCATCATCATCGGCATGGTCAGCAGCAGGAGCAGCAGCCGCCACATCATCATCAGCATCATTATCAACAGCAACACCAGCAGCAGCAGCAGCAGCAGCCGCCATCTCAATCCCAATCCCAGGCGGGCAGCATGCGTTCCCGTTACTTTGACTTGGCCTCCGGCTTGGCCAGTCATTGCAGCCTCCATTCATGCACTTCCAGTGAATTTGCGCCAGGGGATTCCGCTTCGTATACCACCTCCATCAGCACGGATACCCTGTTCTGGGAACCAAAGAGCGAGGCGGCTCAAGCGGCGTCCCGTCAACATTCCACCAAGTCAAGGCAATCGTACGAGCAGCAGACGCCTTCCCAGCCACATGTCCAGGGGCATCATCATCACCATCCACAGCAGCACTATCATGTGACTGCGACACAGGTGCAACCGTCCCAGATCTATCCCAATACCATGGCCTATGTGCAGAAGCCTAAGTCCTGGGATAATTTGGCGGCACAAGGTTTTGGCTATGGTTATCTGGATACGGTGGCCATGAAGCCGCCGGTTAAACTCCAGATTGCCCAGCAACGGCATTCGATGCCGCGTCGTAATCCGTATGGTCGCTTCTCCACCTACGGCGATGTGGAAAACTATGCACCGCCACCCACCGAATTTGTGGGTGAGCTGACAACCACAACGACAACGACCATCACAGCCAAATCCACGGAGGAGCTGCTCGCAGCCTGTGATTGCTTGACACCCCAGCAACAGCAGGCGCTGAAGGCAGCCCAATACCAGTTGAGTCAAACACAGAAGTTGTCGCATCAGAACTCCTGCCAAATGGGCTACTATTCCCATCTGCCCAGGCCCACAGCAGATGTGGGCATCTCCACGGGACAACCACAGCAGCAACAACAATCACAACAGGCAAATAATGGTTGCGATGTTGCCACCGTATCGGAGGCAACACGCTTGTAAGGGTCTCTGATTCCAGTAAACAGAATGAATGCACTCAAAGGATTCAGCTGAGTGAATGCTAGCAGATGACTCAGTTTTGCTCAATTTTCAGAATGCAATATTTCATTTAGTCATTGTGAGAGCCTTTCCACAAACTAAAGATTTCAGTAAAAGTAAATTTTAATTAAAGATTTCTGATTCAGCTGAGTGAATCCTAGAATATGATTCAATTAGTGATCAATTTACAGAATGCATCCATATTTAATTCATTCAATATGAGCGACTCTCCACAAACTAAAGATTTTAATTGCAGCAGAAGAATTTCTGCAGTTGAATTTTAAGTAAAGACTTCTGCATAGATTGTGCTTTAATCAAAATAGTTCTTAAGTCCGAGAAGAATTTCTGATTTGACTACTGTACACATCTAAGCTCATTCATTTGTTATTCATGAGTGCATTCATCTAAGGGAAGAACATCGAAATAATTAGCAAACTAGTTTTGGTTGCAACTGTAACTAAGCCAAATTTTTAAATTTTAACTAGCACTTGAAAACAGTTAGGAACAGTTAAAGCGAAACAGGTAATCCAATTTAAAATCATACATATATAAATATATATAGATATATGATATATGAAGACGCATTACAGTTTCTGAATTTCTAGATTAATTTAAAGACTGAAAGCTACGCGTATATTTTAAAAAGAGAGAATAGAGAAAGCGAAGATTCTCAAGTGCTTAAGTAGAGAGTTAAAAGTTAGACATATGATAAATACATATAATATATACATACATATATGCATGTAGCTATTGTTTTTAACATATTGTAGATATACTTAATATATATATATATTCTTAATAATTATTATTATGGGTCTGCAATGCTGATATCGAACAATGTAGTTTATTCATTGTGATAGGCAGACACTAAAAATACACAATTCCAGTTTACTATATATAATATATATTATTTATTAGATATATATGTATGTATACATAAACTGATCAAATGGCGCTTTTGATGTAATGCAACAATGTAAATGTTATTGTACTTTATATAATGCAATAAAATTCAATGTGTGTTCATGTAGTATAACTCATAGAAAATATGTTTAGAATCTGAGTTTTTTAGTTACAGTTGTTCCATATTATATATCAATTCGAAGGCTGTACAACTGTTTTTCTTGATTGCTATCGGAAATCGATTTGTATCGATAATCGCGAAACGATGACTTATCTCTGAGATGGTCTTGTTCACACAGCCAGGAAGACGGATATATTTATATAGCATATACATACTTAATGCAGTCGGTTATGCTACCTTTAGCCTGTTATATATTTCTTAACCAACTCCGACTTTAAGCTAATCTCAGCCACAGGAAACCCACAACAAATTTATTCCGCTTACTTTGAAATTCAAGAAACTTGTTTCGAAGGCAGACCAAAAAACAATCCCTTTTAAAGTTATTTTCAAAGAGCAACGGCAACTCTACACAGGGTCAGCTGTTTTTCTTCGAAGTCGAACAACCCCCGAATGGGTTGTCAAATAGTACGCGATGCGCCCTCTGGCGGCTTGAGCGCTGCACTATCAAATGTCAGTTTTGGGCACAAAAAATCAATACCAACCCCCAACCCCAGCCCCCTTCTCGTTAAAAATGTAAATGCGAAAAAATTCAATACTGTGCAGCAGCCATACACGACGCTCGCAACGCGTTTCCACAAAATATATTCATTCATTGTGTGTCCCCCACTCGAAAAATAAATTGAAATTTTGCTTGAATTTTGCCAACGCACTTGCAGTCGAAAAGTTTTGAGAAACGCAAGCAATAAGCAAAAAAAAAAGAAAAGAAAATAAAGCAAAGAAAGTAAAGTGAAGCAAAAGGGGCGAAAAGTGCGTGAAACTCAAAACGTATTTCGCGAAAAAGGCGACCGGCAAAAGAGATACAAAGAAAGCAGCAGCAGCACACACACACACACACACGAGCACACACACACATAGAGGAACCAAGTGAAAGTGACATGGCAAACGCGTAGTCCAACAACAACAACAACAGCAAGAACAACAACAATAACAGTTCCAACAAAACATAATAATATGCTAGGTGTGGCGGCTGTGGAGCGCTGCTGCTGCTGCTGCTGCTGCCGCTGCTGCTGCTAGCGCAGTCGAGGACTGAGGATAACGGTCGGCAGCATCGACATCATCACCGGCGGAGCATCGGCAACAATAACAGCAACGACGGCGCAGCAGGCAAAAGGTGAACAACAAGAAGAAGCAGAAGAAGAGGAAGAAGAGGAATCAGAGGTAGAAGCAGAGGAACGAGCACTCAAGGAAAGCGACAAGCAGCAGCAGCAGCAGCAGCGGCAACTTTTCAAATACCGCCAGCGGCCGTCGCGGTGACAAACGGAAAACGGCAACGGCGACGGCGACGTCGACGGCAACCGTTGCTGCAACGGCTGCGCTGGCGGCTGCTGTTAGTTGTAGTGCTAGCGCTATTGTTGTTGTTGTTGTTTGTGCTGGAGGCAGCGGCAGCGATAGAAACAGCGGCAGCGGCAGAGGCAGCGGCAGTGCCAGTGCCAGTTACAACAATGATAAGGTAAGCAAGCATCTGCATTTATTTATTTATTAAATGCAAATGCAATTGCCATTTCTTACTTATACTTAGGGAGGTCTAAATATAAAAATATATAAGATTTAATTGTATTAAGAAAGTGCAATTGCAAATGGCTCTCAACGTCAATTAAAAATCGAAATGCTGTATGGCAACCCTGTTCCATAATTTCACAAGCAAATCTTAAAAAATAAAGGGAACAATTTGTTGGCTTATTAAAGATGGGCGAATGTGTATGAAACACTTGTGGGAAAATACCTACTAAGAAAGAGAGGCGAACCATAAGGTATATATATTTTTGATCAGAATTCTAAAATAAACACTGATTTAATAGTTGTGACTTTCGACTACAGCACTGCGAGTTGCTTTTTAAAATTTCAAAGTGTTTTTCGGTCAAGTTTCGTTGGCGAAATAGATTTTTGGAACAGCATTAACTTTCGCTCATGTTGCCTGCAGGCAAAGTAATTTAATCAATTCGATAAATACGGATTTGCCAATGCTCCAAAAATTTTTCAAACTGTGCCTGCAGTCACATAAATAGAGAGAGATATAGATAGAGATAGAGAGAGAGAGAGAGAGAGAGAGAGAGAGAGAGAGAGAGAGAGAGAGAGAGAGAGACAGAGAGAAAGAGAGAAAGAGAGAGAGAAAGAGAGGGATAGAACATAAAACTTCAGTTGCGAGCGCTGACAAAAAGTGTATCTGGCCTGCAAGAACTTTAACTAAATGTAAAGCAGTAAATAAATTTAAAAAAATATATATATAAAATAACAATATGAAAAATATAAATTAATATATATTCTTTTATGTTTTCCATTAAGTTTTAGTGTTACTTTTTTATCATTGCAATTAGAGTGGTATTTAATTTGTAGTCGCTGTTCCCGTTGCAATTGTTAGAAATGTTTGATTTTCCTTTGTTGAGGCCTCTGACAGCATCATTATCAGTGTCAAAATGCCATTAAATGTGTAGCACACACATACACACACACACACACACAATGCCTTTGAGGGCTTACACACACACAAACAGCAAATACAAAAAAAAGAGGAAGAAAAACTGAAAATAAGTATTAACAAACAAACAAAAAAAAAAGAAAAGAAAAAAAATAGTAGGAAATGTGCAGCTTTGTCAAGTAGCAAAGAGCATCATGGAGTAGTAGCAGCGAGTAATATTTGCTAGAGTGCCAGCGGGCATTGAAAACACACACACACACACACTCACACACACACACACATACACACGCATACATAAACTCATTTGTGTGTGTGTGTGTGCCGCTTGGCAGTCAGTCAAAAAGCGTCTGGCGATGAGCGCCAAAGTGCGTTGCATACTTTTTAGCGCGCTTTGTTTGACTGGAATTGGGATTTTCCAGCAGTTGGCGTCGTCATCGTGTAACAACAACAACAATAAGAAGCAGCAGCAGCAGCAACAGCAACAACAACAACAACTAGTAGTTAAGCAAACAAGCGGGAAGAGAGAGAGGCACAACTCTTCTTCTCTCTTCTTTTTTTTGCCACGTTGACAAACATATGCAGACAGTCAGCCAGCCAGGCGACAAAAGTGTCCTTGTTCATTTGCATATCAAAAGGGAAATTCATTTAGCTTCCAGCTCCCTAAAGTTCATAATCTTAGTATTTTATTGTTTAACGGCTTAACAACCTGTTATATATTATACAACTGAAGGTATGCGCAGAGAATATATAAATACTATATTCATTCTACAAATTGTATATATACATTCTTTAAAGAGTTTGACAACCTGTTAAATATTTTTATAACCTGCTTCAAATTATTTACATACATTTTCAAATGGATTTCCGTATTTGGTTTGTAGAATTTGAATTTTTTTTTTGTATTTAATTTGGATGATGAAATAGCCAATTTTTGTTGTTGTTGGAATTGAGCCAAAGCGAAATAGTTGTGATTTGTTGTATGTTCTTGCAGTGCCTGCATTTACTATGTGTGCGTGTATCTGTCTGTGTGTGTGCGTGTGTGTGTGTGTGTGTGTCTGTGTGTGTTAATAAGCATTGACACAGTGGCAACGACTCTTGCTTAGTATTTGTGTTTTTTCATTTCCGGTTTCCACATGTTGACAAGCTGCTGTTGCTGCTGATGTTGCTTGAGTTCTGCTCTTGCTGCTGCTGCTGCTGCTGCGGCTCTGCTGCTGCTCTTGATAATAATGATAATGTCAATCATGATGATGATGAAGTCAGCAGCCAGTTATGGCCAGCATTAGAAGAGAGTGCGAGCGAGAGAGAGAGAGGGGAGGGAGTCGTAAGTGAGTCAGCCTGTTTAGTTTATCAGCTTTGTTTAGTTTTCTTCTTCCCCTGCCCCACACACACACAGACTGACACAGACACAGACAGACACACACACACACATAGTCGTTATCCTGTCGTCCATATTGCGTATGCGTAATTTTCACATTATGTAATTTGCACTTGTTAAATGGACTCTTAATTTGATTAGGGCGCCGTAAACATGAAGTGGCGACGACAACGCTTCCATCACAATTTTTCTTTGACTCTCTGACTCATGTCTCCTTTCGCCAGCCTCCTAGAAACCATATTTACTGCACCCCCTCTCCATCCCCCACTGTCTATTAGCTTTTAGATGTGACTGCCGCTGCCGCTTCAGCTTCTGGCTGGCTGCTGGCTGCTGATGAGCTCATATTGAAAGTTTTTTGTGCCAGCGACCTAGTTTGGCGCAACCCAAATCAATGTGGTCGCTGTGGCGCCATTTGCACTACCGACCCCATTCCATCTCCCCGCCTGACCCTTTGTGCACTCTCCTCTCCTCTGCTCTGCTCATCTCGGTTTTTCTTTGTTGCTCTGCCGATTGCCTGCGTTCCGCCATTAAATGATGATTTTTCCAACATTTTCTTTGGCATTTTTGAATACCCTGCACTCACTCAAATAAATATAAAGGGGTTGCTTTGCCGCGTCAGACGTTTCTCAACTATCAACTGTTGATTGGATCAAGCTCTTGCAGCAGACAAAACTAAATTTAATAATTGTTTCAAATACTCACTTTGTTCGTGAGGATCTGCACCCTTCGCCTTCAAGCTGTTGATCGCACCATCGATAAATATCGATATCGATTATACACAGAGTTGTATGTTATGCTGCATAAGTTATTACAGTATTAG